ATCCACACTTGACACTTCACTTCTGCCAACATCCCTTATAATCCACCCAAAACAAAAACATCTGCAGGCGGTAGCTTGGGTTAAGTCATGTTTTAATGTGGCATACACGCAGCCAGTCATCCAAGAAATAGAAACCGAGTGAGTCTCTGCAGCCGTTGCACTGTCAAACAGCAAAACACGGCCATATGGCGCCACATCTCCATATGGCGCTCTACGGTTTACACGAGGTAAGACTGTGTGAGGAGTAAACAAGCTTCGCTCAGGCACACGCACATGAAAGCAGCAAGGGTGTAAATAAGTGGTGGAAGCCCAGAGGTGAGTCGAGGGGTGAGGGATGTGTGTGTGGTGGCTGGTTAACGGGGACAGCGAATACCTCCAAGGTGCCCTTTGGCAACACAGTTAACGCCTGCTAGCTGTGAAGGAGCCGCTCACTGGACAACAGAGGAAGCTGCTGGGTGTGAATGTGAGGAAGAGTAACACGTTTAATGATGAACGATAGAAAATAACCCGAGTTTGATTTCCCTCACAAGGGGCCAAACATTTCCTTCAAGACGGTAGAGATGGCATTTGATTTTCTATCATTTATAAACATTTAATAAACACTTAAGTCTGCACTACATTAGAGTGTGTTGTAAACCCTTTATTTATTGTTTATATACTGCCTATACTGTAAATGCTAAAGTCTCAGGTTATATTAAGTGTGACCGTTATTACTTAACTCATGAACTCTTTAACTCAACAGCATTTGAAGGCAGCCAGCCCCAAGACACACAAAACTGTCAGTCTTTGCAGTGTGGTTAGGCCTATAGGTGAAATGATTATTCAGTGAATCAATTTGTTGACTGACAGAAAATGAAACAGCCACTATTTTCATGATTGATGAATCATTTGAGTCATTTTACATGACAGTAAACTGAACTGTTGATTGGACAAAACAAGCAAACTGAATATGTCAACTTGTCATTTAAACAAACTGTTATAGTAATTTTAAAACTCTTCTCTTACACCGTACTTATATAGACAAAACAATTAATTATGTAATTTAATAAACAGATTAATTGGTAATGAAAACTATTGTCAGTTGCTGCCACAGTTAGGCCCACATAATCTGAACCAGTTATAGGAAATGACCTTCAAAACATGAGGATTTGCAGGTATAAGGAGACAGATGTTGACATTTAATAACCAGCCATTTGCTCAGAATCAAAACCCAATATTACAGTCTTATAAATAAATCCCTGTTTTGCTTCAGTTCAGCCTGTATATCCAGTTCATCAGTTTTCAAATTTGCGGTTCTAAACACACAAGATTGGGCTCGCACAAAATTGTGGATGAACTGTAGTTTGCTTATGCAGCTGCAGTTACTGTAGCCGGTGGAAGACATATTTAAATCAAAATTATTATGTTCATTCTTTTCTTATCTCGCATGGTGGGTTTCTGCATTTGTTTGACATACAGTATTTATTGTACTCTTACTTTTGGTACTTAAAGTATATTTTAATGCTTTTACTTCTGTACTATTTTTACTTTGTAAAAGATCTGAGAAATGTGTTGTGTGTGAACTATCAAAAGTAAAAGTTGTCAGTATGCAAAATGGTCCTCTAATGAGTGTTACATTACTAATTCATAACATACTATGTAAGGAGCGTTTTAATGTTGCATGAAGTTAAAGTTGCACAAAATGAAAGGTCCTCCAAACTGTATTATATTGAAGTAAATGTACTTCACTTTTCACCTCTGCTGACAGGTAATCTGCAGGTGCAAAAATGAGCCAAAGAGAAACAGAGATGGAGACTATATGAAAAAAAAGATCTTAACATCAACCTCGAACCAAACGCAGCTCCTGCTAATGGATTTCCCTAAAGAAGAAGCGGTATGCACCCACCCTCTCCCATTAAAGCTTCATTAAAGCTTTATTGTTCCATACAGTACCACTTAATGCAATCACACGCTCCCCCCTTCCTGCGCCATGCTGCTTTGTGATGTTCATGCTGTTCACCGGAGAAGTGACAGGTGCAGCAGTAATGGGCTGCTGCAGAGCGGTCCAGGTCTGCCCGTCGAGTCGCAGAAGTGCAGCAGTCAGAGCAGCAGCAGGACCTCTGCTCCATGTGAGGCCGAGAGTCAAGTTAACGTTGATTATCACTGTTTGTTCCATGATTGCACAGTCAGCGGTCTGAGAAGGCTGAAATCTGGTGTCTCCTCCGATGATGGTCACTGAGGTGAAAGATGAAATAGGCTAAAATAAAAGATCAGTTTTAATGTCAGCGTAGCACAAAATAACCATTATGTATTTAAGGTATTATTATTAGTAACGAGTCATTAGTATTAATGATATCACAGTTATCATTAATACTAATCCCTCAGGAATTATTCAGCCTGATATTTAATTTGGGACTTTATCAAAATCTGTATTACATGTTAAATAAATCAAATAAATGTAATAACATAATAATGCCAGTGTTTTACGCGATGATATATGACCTAATGCATTTATATTGGCTCTCTTATCTACAAACATCCTACTATAATTAGGCCACTGTACTCTCATACAATATACTAAATTATTTTTTTAAGTAGTTGTTAATTGATGAGGATAAATCTAATAACTTTATGCAGTGTTAAAGGACTATACTGGTGTTTTTGCTTGGTTTAAGCCAATTTTTTTTTAACTAAAAATCAGATTGCAGAGACTAAATTAAGTACTTAATTGCAGTGAACAACATTTCCTCTGCCTTCTGGTCACATGCTGGTGGTTTGTCACGTTTGAGATTTCAGAGGTGACTGCTGAACAGCAACATTTTTAGTACAATAACTTAATCAGTTCAATCAATTAATAACTTATCAGTTGTCAAATGTTGCATCATTCTGGAGTGCAATGCGTTCTTGTAAGTTCATTTTTTATAGTTTCCTGAAGTGAACTGGCTGCCTCAAGTTTAGAAATAAATCATAAGATTTAAGCATTTGGGAAAACAATGGGAGTAATGTAACATTGCCACAATTCAAGTTGAAGGACTGACATGCAAAATCCTCTAGTCTAGTCCTATATAACCCATTCAGTTACTGAAACTGCTTGGATATAGTAGGCGCAGTTATCTCCTCATTCATTGGTCATCCAAACTGCAGCCAGGCTTGATGACACTGAATCTTTTTCTCTTCTCTAGCACTGTACTTATGGAGATGCTTGTTGATGCTTTTATTTATTCTGGTCTGGATTATTGCAATGTACTGTACACTTGTTAAAACATATCCTCCATGGACAAACTGCAAGTTGTACAGAATGCAGCTGCAAGACTTTTGTCAAAGACCAACAGGAGATCACAAATTACACCTGTGCCTAAGGCTCTTCATTGGCTTCCAATTGGTTTTAGAGTGCATTTAAAAATTTTAACCATTACTTACAGAGCCTTCCATGGTCAAGCTCCCTCTTACATCCAGGATCTACTGCACACACACACTTCTGGTCGGTCTATGAGGTCTTCAGGCCAAGACCTTTTAACTGTTCCCAGAATTCGTCTTAAAACAAGAGGCGATCGGGCTTTCTGTGGTGGCTCCAAGGCTCTGGAACTCTCTTCCTTTAGCCTTGAGAGCCTCGGACTCTGTGGAAAACTTCTAAAAAACACCTCAAGACACATCTTTTTAGACAAGCATTTAACTAGCCATATCATTTTGTATTTTGTGTTGTTTTTATATTATTCTATTTATTACTGTGAAGCACTTTGTGACCCCTCTTGTCTGGTGAAAGGTGCTATGTAAATAAAGTTTACCTACTTCTCTTTTGTACTGATGAACTGTAGGATGTTAATTCATTCAACCTTTATTTGTACTAGAGACCATTGAGGTGACCCTCATTTATAGTACAATGACATTGGGTCACAAGTCTCCTCATCAAATAGTGTCCACCTTGTGCAAAGTGCCATTTTAGTCTTAAGTGCTGAGAATTCATGAAATTTACTCCTACTTTCAAACTTTTGTATAAAAGCAAGTTATCAAATTTCTTTCTTGCTCCCCAGTTATTTAAGACAGCTCCAGAGGTCTCTCAGGTGGTTAGGAGTTGCCCGTAAGGGCTTGTGATGGCACTGTGGAGACAGAGATATGAGCAATTCTTTCAGGAGAGGTATATTTCTCAATTATTTGACGAGGCGCAGTTAATTATACAGTATTGTTTGGGCTGAGCAGTCAGCGAGTTGGTGAGGGACATCATCTCACCACTGACTTTACACAGCAATGCGTTTTCAGCTGAATTGAAGGTGGTGATGAAAGTTTGTTTCTTTGCCACAGCTGATGATTGCAGGCCATCACAACCATCCATACAGTCACGTTTCATCGACTTCCTAACAACATTCCTCATAATCCAAACTAAATTCATGCAAATAGCCGGATTCCCAGGAGTAGTATGTGCAATTAATGGCACTCATGTAAAGATCAACCTTTTTTTATATTTCATATCCAATGTATTTCTAATAATGTATTCTCTTAAAAAATATTTATTGTCAAATGTCTGTTGAATATAAACTCCTCTTAGGAATTTCTCCATTCAATATGAATTTATCTGAGAATTTTTCCTAAATAAGGAAATCTATTCAGGGATTGGTTCTTGCCTATGTCGTCATCCAAAATCCCATTTGCGGCACAGCAAAGTGTCGTGAATCAGCACTAAGAATGAGACTTAAGATTTAGTCCTACACAATTAGGATTGAGATACTTGACAACTAACTTTTATGCGCAGTTTTGAGCCAAGAATTATTTACTCTTAATTCATACGAGTGTTCTTATGAGTAATTCTGAGAAGCTTGATAAATACAGTTATTTCCATAATAAGTTCCCCTGCTTGATGGTTTACCTTTTGTGTTGTTCTTATTCTGTGCTCAGGACACAAACGCCTGGTACCTGATAGTTTCAGGTAATCTAGGTTACCTAGAATACCTCAGTACGATTATCTTGTTAATCTGAATTAATCTGAAACTGTACAAAACTACAAGATGACCACAAACCACCACACGTTTTCTGAAAAGTAATTCTTTTATTAATATTTTACAATCCTTTATTAATGGTTATGTCATTATTTACTTTTTCAGCGCCACTTTGCAAGTGTCATTATTCCATGCTGTCTGACGACAACAACAACAACAACAAATAAACAAAAAACAAAGGAGAGGTTTGAAGAATGAGAGTCTATACAACACTTTTGTCAAGGGGCAGAGAGAGATTCACATTTCGGCTCTCAGATTGACCTCTCATCCCTTCCTCTTGTCAACAAAAAAAAAAAAGTAAACAAAAAAGGTTAAAAGCAGGACTGTCAGTCAAGTGAATAAGTGAAGAGTCGTCTGTGGGTCGGTCTGTTTGGCTATAAAAACACCCCACACTCCTGTTGAAAAGTTTCAAAACTTTAAAAAGAACAGGGGTCCTCATTCTCCTCTAGGTCTCAAAATGCTTTCCCCATCTCTGAAAAATAATATACAATGTACTACAATTAATCCAACAAATACAAAATATAAAGATGGTCTCTCTTCCCGGCGCTGCTCCAAACATTGGAGGACAATATTTGTATTTTAGAAAAGCGTTTTGTGAAATGGAAAGGGCCACTGGCAGGTAAAGAGAGGGAAAACGCTTCTGAGATTCCCAAATGATTAATGGAAATTACTATTTTGGTACGAATCTGATTATTTAGTTGCTGTTGTGCTGTGGCGGAAGCTGCTGGCGGATACATTTCCTCATTAAATGATCTATCAAATACTTCCTGAGAAATAAAGGAAATATCTACCTGGCATGAAGAGAGGAGGTGAGAGCTGGCCGGCTGAGAGAGACATGAAGAAAGGAAAGTGTTTTGGTTATAACAAAATAACAACTCTGCAGTGTGTTGGCAGCAGAGCTCAGGATGCAGGGTGTTGGAAAAGCTAAAATCATGACTTGTTGGTAGTGAGAACTGGGCAGTGTGTGTGTTTCTTGTCGGCCCAGTCGGCTTATTCGAACCCGTCAGTGTGTAAACGTGGAGCAGAGAGCTGGAGGACAGAGATGTGGGCAGCAGTGCTGGTGTTGCTCAGTTTGTGCTCTTCAGCACAGAGAGGAGGAGGGAGAGAGAGAGAGAGAGAAAGGAAGGCTGGTGGGAGACTAACAAACTGTCCGTACAGCTGCTGGTAGCATCCAACACCCACAACGCTCACTGCTGGAGCTTTGTGTTAAATCAGTTCACAAAAAATACATTTCTCATTTACCTCTGGTGCTTTCTAGTCATGCAGAATGTTCTGCTTTTATTTGTCAAGGTTTAAGATACAAGGAGATTTTCAGTAGCTAGCTAAGACATGTCTGCAGCAGCATGACAAGCTGGAGATGTTATTTGTACCACTAGATTAAGAAAGGAATAGTTTTGGTTTAATGAGAAGGAGATACATACGACTTATGTCTGTAAGGTAACGATAAAGCAACAGCCAGCAGCTGGTTAGCTTAGCTCAGCAAAAAGACTGGAAACTGGGGCAGGGGGGGGAATCACGTTTGTTCAAAAACCAAACTGTAAAAACAACAATTTGTGGTTTTACAGGAAGTTATGTTTGAGCCAATTTTTTAGACCAGGAGCCTTTAAGGTCACCAGGTAAGCACGAAGTTACTGCTCTCAACTCAACCATAACCCCCGGTATAACCTCATGTCGATGTTTTTAAAATTTAGTTTTTGTACGGATTAAACAAACGGTGTATAAACGTGTTAACTTGTGAAGCTAATTTGGTTACCTTTGGCCAAAGCCAGGCTAGCCTCCGTTTTCACTCTTAAAGCTAAGCTGAGCTGACGGCAGCAGCTTCCTAATGAACGTGCAGATATGGGAGTGGTATAAATCTCATCACCAAAATGTCACCAAAGACAATGTTGCTATAAATATGTATTTATGGAAAAGCAAATAAAGCCAACGTTACTTATGAGAGTAGCCCTCCTTCATAAAACTGAATTAGTGTAAATAAAACAAGCCCCTGAAACAGCTGCCCCTGACTACTTTAAGAATCGCCAGGAAGTGAAGTAAAGACTCCAAACATTTGCAGACTTCTGGATATAAAATTAGCCATCCACACGGTTGTATATTAACTGGCTATTTTGCTGGTTGCTAGTGTTCTGTGTAGCCACTCTCAACACAGAGGAGCTGAATGAATTCAGTTTGAAATACAGGCAAATAAAAAAAACTGTACCACTATATGCATGACTAGTTTTCACCAGAGAAAGATGAGAAAAATATAATTGTTTTTTGTGTAATTTGAGTGAGCTGACCTTTGAATTTAAAGAAAGGTGAACCACTGAGCCACAGAAACTCGAGGGCCAAACTCAAAAATTTTAGCTTAAATTCTGAATATATACATATTCGTATTTTCCCCGAGTATAATCCCTTTCCTCTATAACGGTTTCCAAACCAAACTGTGATATAACACTGCCCACCAGGTAAAAGACAGTTACTACCAACACCTCGCTGGCTGTGTTGTCACACTCCTCCACTGTGGCTAGATGGGAGTAGGCAGGGCAGGATATTTTTAGACCGGCTGGTGGATTCACAAAATGAACTTCACTTTTACCACTTCACAAGAATACAACAACAGGACCTCTGAAAGACACAGAAGTGCGAGAGAGGCCTGTGGTGCCGCCTACGACGAATATTTACCCACATTTGGCTGGTGGTGGTGTTCATTGTCCACCCTGGTGTAACGGACAGTCGGGTCGGTGTTACGTCTACGACCGTCAGGTTAGGTCAAGGCAGAAGCTCCGCACACCAGAGGCAGGTTTACAGGTCGAAGGGTCGGTCTGTAAGAGCTTATCAGTATTCAGGCGATTAAGTGCGACAAGCCCATGTTGAAGCAGCAGCAGGGCACATTATTTAACATATTTAGCTCCTGTTTCCTGGTAGATGAGTTCATATTAACCAGCCAGCAGGGAGGCGAAATTTGATCATGTTTTTTAACCTGAGTCTTGCACCAAACATTCAGTTTGTGTACGATTTCTTTAGAGGTGAAACTCAAAACACTTTGGCCTTTTACACTACAAGAACTTAACGACCCGGACATTAAGATGTAGCCAGTGTCACAGGCTCGGCTTTTGTTTCCTTTGTGCTCCCACCACTTGGAAGCAAACCTAAATTTCCGGTACTAAATCCAGGTTGAGGTAATCTCAGGTGGAAGGAACGTAACAACTGGTTTGCATCACGGCAAAAACTACAATTAATAACAGAGAACGTGTTCAGACTGCAGGGAAGTTCAGGAGATATTCTGATTCTGACGTGTATTTGTTCTGGAGCCGGTCTCCATGAATCCTAACCTACTCCATGTGGGGCGTCTTCTATTATTTATGTAAATGCAAAAGACATTTTCCATCGTCCATTCTGCTACTGGGAAAAAAGGACAAAAATTATGATATCTGTGCAGATATTGAAGCGGTATTGCATTTTCAATGATGTACACTATGTTGCCAGTTTATTAGGTACACCTAATGCAGTCCAATTAACAGTCCTGCACTAAATCCTCCCATCACGAAGGTTATAATGATCATAAAGCTGAATAAAAGCTGAATCTGAAACAGTTTCAACAAAATTGTACATTATAAGATTTGTGTTGGGAGGATTTATTGCAGGACTGTTGTATTTAACTAATAAACTGGCATCCAAGACCTAGACCTTAGGGGTTCTTACAGGTTCAGGTTATGGTAACCTCCAGATCCGGGTCGTTGAGTTCCTTGCTGATCTTGAGTCAGTTCATATTTCCTCCTTTATCTAGCCTTCTCGCTGGATTTACAAAACTAAATTTACAATTCTCATCCGATTCCTGCCCTGCTACTGCATCGCTGCTCCATACTACAAATTTGGGAAAAACACTGATGCAACACACATTTAGTGTGTGTGGTTGTGGGTTGAAGCTTCTACACTTGCTACCTTTTTAGGTTTTCCTGTTTAGAAAGTGGACAGAGCCTGTACTGTATGATAAACCAATTATCTTTGGTTCTTAAGAAGCTAATATAAGCGCAAGGTTTTAAAGCCAAAATAACAGGATAACACAGAGGAGAAAAGCACATGATAGTCTGAATATGTTGTGGGATTTTTGTGTCTTATCTGCCCAAATAAATCAAAGTCTTGTTGTTTTAAAGAGTTCCAGTTCAGGAATATATGGAAATAAAAGGCCTGATGATATAGGGATGGAAAGGAGGAGGAGGAAGAGGAAGAGGAAAAGGAGGAGAAGGGATGACAGAGTGGGAGGAGTAATCACTGGTGAGGATGATGATGTTGGAAGGGTCAGAGGGAGGTTTTTCAAATGTGTATTTGCAAACCAGCTTGCCCCCCTCCAGCCCGATCAACTCCTTCCCCCAACGAGCTGAGATCAGATCCAGGAATGTCAGCAGCTTTCTTCATTTGTTTGTTGTCTATCCATCTGTCCCTCCAACACTTCCTAAGCCGTCCGTTCGTCTTCGTCTTGTCTTTCTTGCTGTGGGTCACTGAAGGTCTCGGTCTTCCAGGTAACGGTACTCAAACGTGAAGCCCTCCTTTTTCCGCTGGCCCCATTTCTCATAGTCAAAGTAAATGTACGTTCCCTGAAAAAAACATGTAATGCATAAAACATTTAAAGACAGAGCAATGATGACCTGGCTTCCTGACAATAAAACCCTGCACTAGGAAAAGGTTTTATTGCATGAATAAATACATCCCAGCAAAATTCTGGACCTTCACAGCCAATCACAGGGCTTCATGTGACAGGGCTCCGGACCAATTATCTGTCAAGTGCAACTAAATTTTGTTCTTGGTCGCACTGGAGCACCTAAAATTTCGCTAAAGCAGAGAAGGGGCACTGGATTTATAGTACTGCGGTGATTGGCCGCTGATAACTATGGCATTTCACATTTATACTTGTGCGTTGGTGTTGTTGTCTGTGTCGCTCTGCATTTACGCCACTAAAACGCTAGCTGGCGGTGAGGTTTCTATGTTCTACTGGGTTGACTTCTGGTGGCCAAGCTGGCTAACTTCTGGTTTAGCCCTCTGCTAACTTGAATTGAGATTAAATAATAATTGCGCGGCTCTTTCCAAATGTTACCGACAGAATGGATCAAATTCGGATAGTGAAACGAGTCATTTTGTGGGGGTTGTGATGTTCAAAATAAAGTATCTACTGCTTTACAGCCACTTGTTTGGCTTCAAAGCAGAGTCCACTCCTGGGATCAATAACAGTTCTTTCGGGTCTGCATCGCAGCGAGGTATCCGAGAGCAGCACACACTTTTGAATCATTTGATTTTTTTGAATGTTTGTTTCACTTCTGCACTTTTTAAGTTTTGTTTTACAATAATGAGAATAATTTGGCAATTTTTTTTGTTTGTGCTGTGATTCAAATAAAGACAAACAATCATTTACATAACTATCAATGTGTATGGGAAATGACAGAAAGTTAGAATATACTGTTATTGCACTAAAAGGGCTGTGAAAAATGGTGATGCACCAGCGCAACCAATGCAAAAAATTTAGTCTGGAGCCCTGAGTTGATCTACCACTATTAGGAGCATACTGCTAGCTGGACAACAGAAATACGCTAAAAAATTTACCTGCTAAGAATCATCATTTCATCCACTGTGGTTGCTTAGTAGTGAGTTAACTGTGACTCTATGACACACAAATCAAGTATGTTTTGGAAACCTGTTATGAGATTTTCATAATGAACACAAATGGATGGAAATCAACGGCTCCCTAGAGCTGTAGAAAAACCTCAGCAGTATGGTTTTGCAAAACGGTTAGAGAGTCAAGTGTGAGGGCCTTGAAGTAAAAAGGCTAAAACGCAGGTGTAGGCCTACAAACTTTCTCCACAAGAAGTCAAAGATGTGAAGCTGACCTGCTCAAACTCATCAGTGATGGTCTTGGGTTCTTCATGCCTCTGAAACCACATCATGTACTTTGTGTGGAACCTCCATGACTGCTTCTTCAAGGCTTTGGCTGCCAGATACTGGGCCTTGGTGCCCTGCAGAAAAGACAAAAAGAGGTAAGAGATAAAAGCATGGATTTAATTAGCAGAAATACAGCATGGTGGCAAAATACAGTTTTGGTTCTGGTCTGGACTTAAAAGAGATCACCAATTTTGTGAATCTTCAAGTAGCAGTTTCCTACATGTCCCAGAATACCTTTCAGAGTCCCAAAGCAGGGACCTAAATCAACTACTCCTAATCAAACACAGGTGTAAACTAAAGATGGCAGCCAACTGCTTTTTGATCATTTCAGAGTCTGAATGATTCTGCGTTTTAATCAAATCCATTTCATTCTGAAGCTGCTCTCTCTTTTGAAAGATCCTCCCCTTTGATTTAGACCAAACCCTGACATTTACTGCATATCTTTTTGATCCTCGAATCACTTTAAACTCTGCACTAACAGATAAGAACATGATCTACATTTGGCCAGTTATCTACAGAACAAAGACACTTTTTGCTTTGATATCACGATTTAGACACACGTCCTACCTCCAGGTAGTAAAAGATGAAGAAGAGGGTTTCCGTGGAAAGCCTCTGGTAAAACTCTACAGTGTCAGAGTGGGGCGGTGGCATCTGGTGGTGGAAAGGCAGGGTGGGGCTGGGGTTCCTCATCAGGTACTGCCTGTAATATCCAACACAGAGTGTTAGTGGAACAAAACTAGATGAAGGAAGGTATTTATTATAGAAGTGAAAAAACTAGAAAAAAAGCATCACATCAAACAGACTGCTTCGGGTTGGGGTCTGCATTTATTTAGTGTGCTAATAGGGATGTAAATGAATGGGACTAATCTGTGACATTCAGGGAGATTTTTAAACACGTGCACAGTCAATCAATGATAATCAAACGTTAACTGTGACATCTCTTCACACAGCCCCCTCTGCAGTAGTACTCCCCAAGACCTGGAGACTGACTTTCCTCTTTAACATTGTATTTTTGCTGGATTCAAGAGTAGAACATGGAACATGTAAAAATTTTAAGATCAGGATAATGAGACCTTAATGCTAATAAATACATTTTAACAACGTGTGATGAGATCTCGTGCCACTTCGTGAGATTAAAAACGTAACGATATGTCTTGTCAAGAGAAAAAAATGATAGCGCATACATGCTCTGTTTGGGAGCTGTACTCTCATCCTAACGTACAGTCCCAAACAGGGTCGTGTCTGTCAGCCGGTCTGAAGGGGATACTACCTTACTGAATGTGCTGAAAGTTCAGGAGATTATAACTGAATTCAAATGAAACAATTTATCATTAAGGTGATTAACAAGAGACACAAAAGAGGAGGGATGACTAAATCATGACTGCATGTGAGTTGATTCAGCAGGGGTGATATTACATGAGAAAAGTTGATCTACAGGAGAAACATTAAGTAACACAGAATGCCTGAGAGCTGCACTGCGTTATTTTTTTATAATTTGAGTTGTCACCTGCCACCTGAATAATGTGTTTCCGTTCACATAAATAAAAACATTTCCACCATAAAGTGGTGCAAACAAATTCACCAGAATGCGGATAATTAAGTTTTTAATGCTCAAGATTTTCATGTAATTTGGCATCGAACATTTGTTAAAAAAATAATGATAAAATCTTGATCTCGTGAACCAAATATCGTGTCTCGTCTCGTTAGCGGTCTCGTCACACCCCTAATTTTAACTCTTAAAGTATGGGAAATGTTTATTACAGTAAGCACAATAACGTAGAGAGCTAAACATTTCAGGCTGTATTCTCAAGTGTTTTAAAAATCATCATCATGGGTAGTGATCCTGCAGTGTTATGATGTGACCTGTGAATCACGATTGTCAGTATAAATAGAAAAATTACAAAATATGGTTTAATAAATGGGATATAAAACAACCAGTGTCACCACTCTGCCTCAAATCTGAAGTAAAACTGAATAATTAGCTTTTCTAAAGCCTCTCATGAACAAAGAGGTTTTTGATGAACCACTTTGTGGACCAATTAACTAATCCATTAGTCAGACTGATCGACAGATTCACCTATCTGATCGTAGGAAAATCTGCCCAGATGAACTTTTCCCATCCGAACCACGTATTTTTAGATCAGTGGTAAACACAGTTTGTCCTCTCTGTTTCCATTAGGCTGTTGCAACGTTAGCCAGGTCAGTGCCCACCAAGAATAATCAGCATGTCCCACTAACAGGCAGAAGGTTTCAGACTGATTACACTCTAATCACTAATATGCTTACTTTGATTACATAAACTCAAATAAGGTGGAAATTACTGTATGTGGCTGTAAGCACAAAAATAACTGTGTCCTGGAAATTAATTATAGATATAAAGAAACACTGTCACTCAACTGTCGACATCACAATCTTGTTTTAAACACTGAGGATGAAATGCAGGCTCTTTGTGTGTGTGTTTGTGTGTCACTCTCCTCCTCTGACTGGAAAACACAACAGGTACTGTTGGACAAGAGGGTTTGAGTGTTTGGATTTAAATGTCAATTGTACCTGTGTGGGCTGACAGCGCTGTAGATACAAAACCAGTATAATCTGTTCTCTAATTGTGAGTGCAGCGTGTGTGTGTGTGTGTGTGCGTGCTCGCACACATTGTGTTTGTGTGTGAAGGCATGCTACATTACTGTTTACCGGAATATCTGAAAGTACTAATCACATATCACATATAGTGATGTGATTTTCATTATGTCTCATGCTTCAATTCCACATAATTCTTTGTGTGCTGCAGCTGATTCATTCTGTGGTTCTCTGATTTAAATTGGATGACAAAGATTAAAAGCTTTGGCAAACGATTCAAAAATCAAATGGTGAAGTTTTTTTAAGGATGCCTCTTAACTCAGATAAATCACTGGGGCTCATTTGTTTGACTTGTACTTATTTTCACAGATTAACAAGTAGAAGATCAGTGTAAACAGATTTATTAACTCGATTTTTTGTTATATTATCTGCAAGAAATTAAACCTATAACTAGGGCTGGGCAATATGGCCAAAAATGTTATCACAAATAAATTCATACCATTTGATTCTGATAAATGTCAAATCATATTTTCTTTCAAGTTTAAAGGCTGATTTTTGCTCCTGACTGAAAATTGAAGGAACCAGATGGTTAATAGTGGTTTTAAACTTTGACACTTGATGTCAAACAGTGGATCACTTAACAAATCTGAGGTAGAACATTAAAAACTTTTTTCTAATTTGTTTGTGATTTATTGACGATATATTTAACATTTATTATGTTATTATTGAGGAAAATCACATTGCAATAATTCTCTTCTTCTATTGTTTTTTTGCCCAGCCCTACCTATAATTGTTTACACCAACTAAAAGTTTAACTCTCACTAACAAAAAGGGAAGAGACAAAAACTGTTATTTAAAAATGTTTAAGTGGAGCAAAACGCTCCGTTTTTCAAAATATGAGATATTGTTATAGATTAACCAGTGGTAACTTATTAATGCATCAATAAAAAACATCCACTTTATATAATAACAAGCAACAGCTATTGATTGTTGTAAAGAGAATTTAAGCAAATAGAAAAATAGAAAAAATAGAAAAGTATACCTCTGATATACAGGTGCTGGTCATATAATTAGAATATCATCAATTCAAAAAGTGAAACTTGTATAATGTATACATTCATTCCACTAATGAAAAATTTGAATATTGTGAAAAGGTTCAATATTGAAGACACCTGGTGCCACACTTTGATCAGCTAATAAACTCAAAACACCTGTAAAGGCCTTTAAATGGTCTCTCAGTCTGGTTCTGTAGGCTACACAATCATGGGGAAGACTGCTGACTTGACAGCTGTCCAAAAGACGACCATTGACACCTTGCACAAGGAGGGCAAGACACAAAAGGTCATTGCTAAAGAGGCTGGCTGTTCACAGAGCTCTGTGTCCAAGCACATTAATAGAGAGGCGAAGGGAAGGAAAAGATGTTGTAGAAAAAAGTGTACAAGCAATAGGGATAACCACACCCTGGAGAGGATTGTGAAACAAAACCCATTCAAAAATGTGGGGGAGATTCACAGAGAGTGGACTGCAGCTGGAGTCAGTGCTTCAAGAACCACCACGCACAGACGTATGCAAGACATGGGTTTCAGCTGTCACATTCCTTGTGTCAAGCCACTCTTGAACAAGACACTGCGTCAGAAGCGTCTCGCCTGGGCTAAAGACAAAAAGGACTGGACTGCTGCTGAGTGGTCCAAAGTTATGTTCTCTGATGAAAGTAAATTTTACATTTCCTTTGGAAATCAAGGTCCCAGAGTCTGGGGGAAGAGGCACAGAATCCACGTTGCTTGAAGTCCAGTGTGAAGTTTCCACAGTCAGTGATGGTTTGGGGTGCTATGTCATCTGCTGGTGTTGGTCCACTGTGTTTTCTGACGTCCAAGGTCAACGCAGCCGCCGTCTACCAGGAAGTTTTAGAGCACTTCATGTTTCCTGCTGCTGACCAACTTTATGGAGATGCAGATTTCATTTTCCAGAAGGACTTGGCACCTGCACACAGTGCCAAAGCTACCAGTACCTGGTTTAAGGACCATGGCATCCCTGTTCTTAATTGGCCAGCAAACTCGCCTGACCTTAACCCTGTAGAAAATCTATGGGGTATTGTGAAGAGGAAGATGCGATACGCCAGACCCAACAATGCAGAAGAGCTGAAGGCCACTATCAGAGCAACCTGGGCTCTCATAACACCTGATCAGTGTCACAGACTGATCGACTCCATGCCACTCCATGGGATTTTCATTAGTTGTCAGTTTTAATCATCACAATTAATTGAAATAAACATTTGAAATATATCAGTCTCTGTGTAATGAATGAATATAATATCCAAGTTTCACTTTTTGAATGGAATTACTAAAATAAACTTTTTGATGATATTCTAATTATACGACCAGCACCTGTACATTACCTACCCTATTTTAAGTACACTTCGCAAATATTTCTTTGCTACTTTTACTTAAATAAAACATTGAATGCATGTCTGACAGTTGCAGCAACCAGCATGAAGGTTTGTTACCGTGTAGAGGAAAATACAAACATTTCACTGCACCTGATCCTCTCGGAGTCGGACGGGTGGGGCATGTGCGACCACGCCGCCTCCTCCATGGCTTGTTGGTAGAGCTGGTCTTTGGACACGGGAACCGGCCCCAGCGGGCAGACCCCCAATGACGGGGGGATGCTGACCTCTGACAGCGAGGGCTGAGGTGCTGTCGGGGGGCCCGAGGGGGCCGTAGTGCTGCTGGGGAAGATGTCTGAAGGGACGCAGGAGACAGAGAATAAAAGTTAAAATGGAGATTTACGACAAAACAGCAACAGAGGGCGAAGGATATTGAGGATGTAGGGGAGTGAAAGAGGATGTGCAGAAGGGGGAGGGATTCAGGATTTGAAGTCAGAGAGACAAAGAGACAGAAGTTGAGTCAGGGCTGATAATACCATCAGCAGTTTTTGTTCAGAGGAGGCTGAGAGTGGGAGGTGAGATGACATTTTGTTCCATTAAACTACAGCTTTTCTATTTCTGCTCTGTGGCAACCCTCTATCTCCTTGTATTAAGGTACATGTGTGTGTGTGAGAGTGTGTCAGTGTGTGTGTTACCTGGGGTGAGGTGCAGGGAGGGCATGTCTCCCTCCATCCCTGAGCGGAGTGCTGCTCGCTCGGCCATGGACTTCAGGCTGCTCAGAGGCTCCTGGGGCTGATGTGGACAGACAAGGAGACTCATGGGAAAACAGATTCTGCCGGACGTGTGCGCATAGTTTCCGTACCTTGCCCCTACAGATAATGTGTTAACGTTGTCATGAAAATAACTTTGGCGTCATTTTTTGTTTGTTTACTCCAACAGCAAACAATGATTTTTAGACAATATTGTGCTTCCAGCCTTTTGTGGTTTGGGAGGAGCCTTTCCTGTTTCAACATGACAATTTTCCAGCGCACAAAGCCAGCTACATAAAGAAATGTTTTCCCAGAGTTGGTGTGGAGGAGCTTGACCCTTGGTCCCGACCTCAACCTCATCCAACACCTGGATAGGCTATGTGCCAGGCACCTTCGCCCAAGATCAGTGCTGGACCTCAGTCATGCTCTTGTGTCAAAACATGAAGTGTTAAGAGTCTTAAAACATCTCCAGACTAGAGTTCACATGTGACAAATTCAGTTGATTAGCCATGATATAAAAAGGAACAATCTTTATTGTGTGTGAAATGATTTTTTTAAAATGAACTCTGTAACACAATGAAGTATAACACGATTGATTTTATGATTTATTGATGATGTTACTGCCGTTTCATCACTGCATAATGAGGAACTATACGTCTGATCTCAAATGTTTCCTCAGAGAGGTCGACTTAAAGAGACTGAAGCTGTGGAACAAACACACGATGTTCTGTATGCTTAGGGTAATCAGTTCAATGTTGTTGTTTTTTCCATTATTCTCAAATACACAGTCACAATGATTTCGCTGATTGCAGAATTAATTCAATCACAGTGAAAGCAGAAACTGTTTTGAGTGTCTTTGCTGCAAATTAATAGTCTGTGGAACGCTTCATGGTGTCTACAAAAATGCCTCAAATTAAAAGATGAATAAATCCCTGCTCACAAAAGTCCTGAGCTTCAATATAGTGAGATGTAGTGTGTGTGGTATTAAAATGTGGTTTGTGTCTGGATACGTAATTTGGATATAGAAAACAACATGTTAATGCAGGTGTAAATGCTTGCAGAGTGAATTGTGATCTGAATTTGAACAGATCACACTTGGAGGCCATCAGGCTAGCACTGTGATTAGATCTTAGCAAAATGGAATCTGTACACCGTGACCACGTTACATTGTCTGAGCCTTGAGGTAGTTCATGACAAAATGGAGACCCGTCCATTCACTTAGGGTATACTCTCACTATGCGATCCGTATCATGCCTGAGTACATTTAACCCCCAAGGTCCGGTTTGTTTGACCACTGTTATTGCTCCATGCCGTGTCAGGGCCCACTTGAAGAGGTGCCTCGACAATCCAGCTGTAATTTATCCTTATCAGTTAGGTTCTTTACATGCTTGCTAATAACTTTTTTTAAAGGTGCATCTCCACACCAACAGCTTTATGTTGTGTGCAGCGGTGTCCGAGAGAGACAGAGAGAGACAGAGAGAGCGAGAATATGTGTTCTGCATGCAGCTCTGCAATCAAATACGATTTTATGTAGCCAGGCCTAGTAAAAAAAAAAAAATAATCAAAAAATCAAAAACCAATATGTGGTGGTCGACGCTGGCACTGTGACAGGCCGCCACAACTAATCAATGTATGGGGAAACACTGGAGTGATGACGTAAACGCGCTAATAGGCGCAGAGTGAGCGCGCTGGCCAGCAGGGGAGTGGGGAGGGGGAACAATCGTGCCCAGGCATGGTATAAGGCAACCGGGCCTAGTGCGAGTACGCCCTTAGTGAAAGGACTTTTGTTTGAGCAAAGCATTTCTGCTTTTTGTTAAGTTGGATTCGTGTTAGGCCATATCTGATGGACGTTGGTGGAAGAATACCATGCTGGTTTGGCATATTGTTAATGTGCTCAATTTTGGTCGAGTGTTTTTTTACAGTGTGGTCAGACCAAGGTTTGGCCTTTTAATTAGTAGTATATGTTTGGCGTCTTATTCCACCTGGTAGTAATTTGGTAAGAAACACATGCTGGGGCTTTCAGGAGGGTAGCTGACTTTATCAGTAGTACTTGTACTTGCTGTTATTAAGTACCCCCCACAATTAGCTGCCTGAAGACTGGGGTTGAGGTAGGCAGGTAGGTAATAAATCTAATCCTACTCTAGCAGGGGTTTATGACTCATTGTTGTGGCTATTGTTTTGCATGGAATATTTTACATGTGGTTTTCTACACCGTTTCCTCTGAAATTAAAATATGGTCTCTCTAGTAGAAGATCTTGTGAAGTCTGCCTCTGAGGAGCTTTTTGAACAGTGCGCCGAAGATCAGCTTTTAAAGATCGCTAAGCATTATGACACTGAGGTTCCTGACAAATGTTTCAACACAGTTAAAACAACAAATAAAAACCCCAAAACCCCCAAAATTTCTGGACGTTGAAATACTGGTAACAACAACATGGGGTATGGAAGCTTCATCAAAACAGACAGAGCTTCTAAGGTTACACAAAGAACATGTTCTGATCGCAACGCGGACCAGATACAGATCCCATGTTCATATCAGGTGTAAATGCTCCTGTGTGTGTGCGTGTCGTCATATTCTCACCTTGATGACGTCGGAGGACTGTGAGTAGGACAGTGGCCCGTTCAGAAGGCTGCTGCCGCTCACTGTTTTGGCTTCGCTGTAGAAGGCTGGCGATGGGGAGCTCGACGACAAACTCAAAGACCCCAGTAAACTGGGACCAGTGTCCTTACTGCGCAGAGAAAGAGAGAGTTAAAAAAGGGCTGACAAAGTGGGCAACAGAGACCAAAATAAAATCAAAGAAGGGCGGAAAAGGATATTTGTTCATGCTTGAGGGATTTCAAGGTACTGTGTCTGTTTTTCAGAAGTTTAGATGTTCACTTCATATAATTCACATACATATAAACTTTATCCCAGTTAGTCCTGGTGACCTTAAGGATCACTTTTAGAAGGAGGACCTCACATAGTCTAAAAATTATTGCTATAAGTTTACAATTATATTTTAAAATTAGTGATCATAATAACTTCAAAGCTTTCTGTTATAAAAATGTTTTTTCCACCATTTCTATCATGAAATTTAAAATCCAGGAGGGAATTCAGAAAAATTTCTTCAAGCTGAATATTAACAAGTTCAGTTGAAATCAAGAAGCTGACATCGAACTTGTCCATTTATTTCAATTGTGCCATTTTTTCTATTTTTTTTAAGTCTTTTTCATCTATTTTCTCATAATTTTACATGAGCGGAAACGTATTCCATCATACTCACGGCTGATTGGCTGTGGAGGTCAGAGACGATGATTGGCTGCTTTGTGATTGGCTGGCACTGTTGAGGGCGGAGTCTGTTGTGCTGTCTGCTACCACAGCGCTGTAACCTGTAACGCAAAAAATTAAAACAGAGGAAAATACATGTTAAAAAATGCAATCTTTAGTTATAAACCTTGTAAAAAGAAATTCCTGGGTATCTGGAGGCCTCAGAAATCCACACCGTGCTGTGAAACTCTAAATTAGCATAATTAGTAAAAGCGACAACAACTTAGCAGTTAATGGCTATTAAGTCTGTGTTGTGTGTTTAGTAATGTGCCTACAACCTATAATAAAGCATTTGTAAGTAAACTGAACGACTCCTGTGGTTTCACTTTCTAAATAATGAACAGTGACTGATGTTATACTGAAGTGCTTTACAGTTGCTCATAGTGATGAATGTAAGTGCTTAAAACCAAGAAAGCTGAGCATCAATGTTGTGTGACAGTGTTGCATTGAAGGACACTTTATTACTTGCTTTGAATTGGATGGTGCGATTACTCATAAATGATCAGATACATTTAAAGTGGCGGTGCTACAGTTATAACACAAGATGACTGTGACAGCACCTGCACTTAAAGAACATCCTTGGGTGCTATTGCTTTGGTAATCACTTGCTGATGAACTCTTTGCAGCTAAAATGTCCACAGCAGTGCTCATTGTGGATTTTACACTTATTCTAAAAGACATTTCAATGCTTTTCCAGCTGCGAAAGGCATCTCGATGCTAGAAAAGCAGTGAGCATTGTTTGTCCACAGACATCAGATACTCACTAGAGCTACCATTCTGCTTCTGACGGCTCGGCGGCCTGACGGAAAGCGACGAGTTTCCTCCCATCACTCCGCCCCCTGCTGATCCAGAGCTGCCTACGCTGCTCCCGATGACTCCTACTCCGCTACCCGGCGCTAAACCTCCTACTGGGCTAAGTGACACTAGGGAAGACACCTGCACACCCGACTGACCAGAGCCAAAACCCAGAATCCCAGAGCCGATGCTGGTCACCACCGAAGCTGAGCCCAGCAGACCTCCTGTTGAGGACGTCGGCCCGCCGACTGTGATGCTTCCACTGCCGATGGAGCCCAACGTGCTGTTGGATGACGTGGTGCTGACGCCGCCCAGAGAACCCGGTAGACCGGAGCCGACCGCGCCTGAGGCAGCTGCCTGAGCATAGGGTGCAGGGGTGGAGCTGGACAGGAGGTTCGCCATGGTGCACAGGGACGCCGGCATCCCTGACAGGCCCAGGCCCCCGGACATTGGGCTGGTGGTGATGGAACTGGACATGCTGCCTTTCCCTAGAGAGAGGCCCAGGCTGAGGCCAAGACTGTTGGAGGTGGGCGGGGGCCCTGACAGAATCTGGGGCTGGCTGTTTGAAGTGAAGAGCCCGTGTGTGCTGGCGTTGGGGGGAGAAGGGGCAGAGGAGGCCTGGTGGCTGTTGGTGGAGGTGCTGGGGATGGAGATAGGAGCCGAGGAGGAGGAGCTCACTAAGTTTTTGGCCTGTGGTTGCTGTGCTGACGGGTGCGGCTGCTGCTGGGTGGCGTTGCTGTAGCTGCCTACGCAAGTGTTGGAGAGGAGACCCCCCGAGTTTCCGTGATGACTGTTGGCCCCAGAGCCGCTGCTTCCTCCTGCAGCAATGGTCGCCATAGAGACCAGTGAGGATGAGGTCAGTCCAGAGACGGAGGAAGAAGATGAGGAAGAGGAGGAGGAGGAAGAAGAAGATGAGGAAGAGGAAGAGGAACAGGATAACGAGGAAGAGGGGTTTCCGTTCTTCACAGGTGACTGGAAAAAATGTAGGAAGAAATTACAAAGTTTGTCAACAGTTAATTATACAGTTTGTTCAACTCTGTATGAAGCATTTAAAACAGCAGCACCGATGGCACTGAGATACAAGACAGCTTCTTTAACAGACCACAAGTTTTACTAATTAAAGGCTTTTAATCTGTTTTTTTTCTGTTATGAAGTTATCCAAACATCACAAAAAAAGAAATATGTAAGTCGCATGTGTAGTGCATAGTGTAAGTATGCAACAGGGTAAAAACGTTGATATCTATTGATACATTGAAGAATTTGAGTATATTATAGCCTTTTAGAGCTTTTATATTAAGAAATTTATTTTTATTATTGATTCATGTATTAATTATTTTTGATTAAATTATGAATTTCTCACTAAAATGTTAGGAAAAAAGCAAAAAAATGTCCATCACACATTTCCCTGTGCCCAAGGGGACAACTTCAAATAGCTTATTTGGTCCCAAACTCCCCCAAAATTTAATGCATGTTAAATTAAAACAGCTTGATTGCTTAGGTGCAGAATTTCTTGGAGCTTTCTGCGATCCTGGGTGTTACAGACATGATGTAGAAATGATCACTAAGAGGAACACCAACTTTCAGAGTCTTGAGACTCACCTGACTAACTTCACTGTCTGTTGAACGTCCCCTCTTCTTGTCATCTTCTGAGTTCTCCTGAAAAGCACAAATGAAGAACAACATTAAGCCACAGAGAAACACCAAGTTAAGGTTCATCATGCATTGAAGCTGTACCACAAGGCTGTGGGTGTAAAATAAGAAATAGACAAAACCAAAAGCAGCCAAATCTTCGTCATTTTACAATTATTCAAAAGAGCTTGTGACTAGAAGGTTAAAATCCCTAATGTTTGCCAACACAAGGAGGCTCAGTTCTTCTAAAGTGAACTCAAAGATCCAGAAAACTTTTCTTGGATAATTAAAAGTTAAACAATCACATTTCCCATGAATGATTGCAGCTTAGGCTATATCCCATCCCTTATATTTCCTTTCATGCTTTAGTATAACATGTCAGCAGCATTTAACAAAATCACGCCTTCTATTCAGACACATCAGACCTATAATAACTACCCTCACTACATACTGCACGTGGGCGGATAGGAAGAACAGATGATATAATGACAATAGAGCAGAACAATAAGGGCACTACATTAGCAAACACAAAAGCAATTATCTTACATTTATATTTTAGATACTGACCTGACTTGACTCAACATGAATGTAAGCTCAAGCTTCAGGAATTATCAATTATTAGTGACAAATTCAAAGTGCAATGAAGAAAAAACCTGAAAGATTGTTTGCTTTTGGTGGAGAAGCAACATTAATTAATTAATGCCAACAATTATTTTATCGCAAGTTAACGCAGTTTTTATTATTATTATTATTTTGAAAGTCCCTTGCTCACTGGCTCTGAATACATATACAGTCAAACCATGGGTCACAGGAGGAGTGGGATATTGATCAGCCTCACAGACCCAAACACGCAGTGGAGGGAGGCTTCGGCAGACTACGCTGGATGCAGCGCGTGGGAGAAGTAGATAAACAAAAGCAAGACAAGCCATCAAATGCCATAGCGAAGTGGATAGCTACACACTGCACGCTGCATGCTGATTAGTAGTGGGGAAGATGTCGGTCTTAGGAAAGTTCTTAAAATTGCAACGTAGTCGCTTGGCCCCGTGGGTTCTCTCAGGTAAACAGAAGGGGAGACAAGCGCTCCGTGAGTAAATGGCAGGCGCTCTACGGAGGGTAACCATGGCAACGGCTTATGTGCGCTACACATCTGTAGCCTATTTAACTTAGGTTAAAATTATAGTTCAGAAAAAAAACAACAAGAAAACTGGACTCTGATATTAACTTGTTTTAACAAGCTGTAAAAGAGAATGCTGGCAGTGGCAAATATCTTTGGTTTTATATTTGATTTGATTACATTAATGTTTAAGTTGAGATTTAAAATAAAAATAAATATTTTATTGCTACTGTGTAAAGGGAATACTGCTGCTAAAAAACACCTTATTTGTTTTAAGTGTTTGCAAACCACATGTTAAAAGTTAAAAGTGTGCAATACACTACTTTAGAATTCATTATTCAATTTTGTGCATAACAATCATGCGGTTAATCGCAAGAAAATCATGCGATCAAAAATTTTAATCGTTGCCCAGCACTACTATAATTGCATGAAAAACCTCTCAACTCCAATATAACCTTTTTCATACTCACTGAATCTTTGCAACTTCCATATGTTGCATGAATGTTATGAACATTAACACACTCAAAAAGCACCCTGACACTTTCATGAATTTTAAAGAAAGACTGGGGGTTCATTTACTGACAGCAAAAGGAAATGTTTTTTACCGTAGTGCAAGTGGCAGGTGAGGGGGGGATGGGTGAAGATGAGGTGGTGGAGGTGGGTGTGCTGCTGGAGTGCTGGAAGATCTCTTCCTCCAAGTGCAAGTTTCCCGGTGGTGAGGTGGCGACCAGCGTCTGAGCTGGAAGAGCACAGACATAGAGGTAGTTTAGCGGCAATTATTAGAAAAAAAACGGCATTAACATGACCACGTTTAGGGGATTTACAGTATTTACTACTGGTTTGGTGGGATTACATCTCTATACAGTTTAGGAGACTTTCACACTCAAAGCTAAAGTCTCGGCAATGATAATCGAGGTCCAATCTGAGTCCACAAGAACAACCAAACTGCCATTACTTTCTAAAGCTTTCAAAAAAATTTATTTAAAGACCAAATTAACCCATGCTCTTTTCTCTACTTACGGATCTCTTCCAGGTCCAGGTCGTCATATAGAAACTCATTTTCCTCAAAGTCTGGATCTTGTGACGAGTCTAGATAATACTCCACATCATCCTTTATAAACAAAGAACACAAGAGAAAGATAATAGCTGCATTCATTTTCATTTCAGAAAGAATCATTTATAAGCTACAATGTATTTTCGCTCAGTCAAAAGAAATATAAGTGATCTTTTCAGAAACTGTGCAAAACAACTCTGATTTCCCACAGAAAAAGAATTCTTGCAGTGTGACAGCAGCTATCCAATTATGAATCATACAAACATAAATGCTGTGCAGGTGAAACAAGAAAAAAGAAGGAGACACATAAACTTCTGTATCTATGTGTTCAGAAAACATCTAATTAAGTCCAGAAAAAGAAAACAGTCCAGTGGCTTTGTTTTATGAAGACTTGAGCGAACCTTGATCTTCCTGACGGCGTCCACCTGCACTGAGTCATTGTCCAGCATCCTCAGTATGGTCTCCAGCATCCGAATGTGGTGCCGATGTTTCTCAATAAACTTCTTCAGCTCTTCAATCCTGTCCTGCTTCTTCACAACAAGAATGGTGTCAGGTGGGGAGGAAAGAAGGAGAGAGATTTCTTGTCTTAGTTTCAGGTAACTTTCTGTTTTTTACAACGATATCAAGTAGCCATGTCTACGACCTCTAGCTTCCCACATGCAAACTGTTAAAGCAGCAGACAATTTTTATTTTATTTCCCAAAGATTTCTCTCTTTTGGCACAGAGAGTGGATTAAAGAGCCATCAAACAAGATCTCAGTGGAGACTTTTAATGTCTCTCATTGGTCTATATGTTGATTTAGAAGTCTTTCTACCCAGACAATGATAAAATAAAAAAAATAAAAAAAAGGTACACACGCATTTTAATTGCAATATTTGTTATATGTATAATAGTATATGTATAGAAATGTTAACAAAACTAAAAATGTAGTAAAACATGCAGAAGACAGGAAACACATGAAAGGTCCAGCAGCATGAGAGCAGGGGTTGCTGCTATATGTGCACTTTATGCATCATACAGCAGCACTTATGATTTTAATATTTAATTCTTCTCCAACTTCTCCAGTTAATTCATGCATGTTGTCAAACACTTTAGTGTCATATTTTGCATTTGCTTATTTCTATATTCATTTATACATACATTTTTGGATAAAACCTTAAAAACAGCAAACCGAGCACACGTGTCACTATGTGGCACTCTAGCTTAACTGATGGGATTATAAAACACTATAGCTGTTAAAACACACAGGCAGGAACACTTTAGATGTATGTTGTTTGGCTGCTGCTGGACTGCATTAGTGGAGGCAGCAGAGTGGAACATATTAATGTGTTTCATAACAATAGATATTAATGCTGCACAAGCACATGTCAGGAACATGAGTGCATGCACGCTACAAAGGCTAAATTAGAACTTTTAATGTGACTGTATGTCTGAAATTAAGTATTGAGGAATGGAGGTTAAGTATGGACCTGAATTAAATGTCTCTCTTAAATGGCGTTTAAAGGTTTTATAAGGCCCGTTTTAAACACTGGGGAGTGCAGTAAAAAACTAAAACAAAACAAAGGATCCAGTGACCAACCAACAAATGGTGTTTAAAAGCAAACACAAAAGAAATGGAGCAAATAAATAAACTATGTCAGCTAAAAACACCCCTCAGGGCAGCAGGAGTTCAGGAACTCCAATGAAATGCAGAAAAAAATATTTGGTTTCCCCTCTATGGAGTTGTAAACCAAAACAATTTTACTGTCTATAATTATTATTACCCTGTACGCAGGATAAGCGGTTGATGATGGATGAATAATTATTATTACTTTCATTTATTGGAAATTCCACTTTATCCATTTCTCATTGACAGATAAGTGGCATGCTTGAATGTCAATTGTATGTAAATGGCTACATTTATACAGTTATAGCCATACTCATACACTGATGGCACCAAGCTGCAGCATGCTGGTCAACCATGATACTGAATCTTATCATGGTTTGGTATCTTGCCCAGGAAAACTTAGACAAACAGGTGGAAGGGGGTTCCTGAGCAACAGCTTCCTCTGTATGTGTCAATATTTGTTCTTTTACGGTAATAATACTTCTGTGCATTAGGTGTGCTGTATAGCGTATCAGGTGATCCTGTATATCCGGGTAAACTACAAGGAAGTCATCTGCTCCTTCTTGTTATGTTTTAAGGTATAAAATAAAAAATTTAAAAAATGATGAAGTCTCTTGTGAAAAATCTGTTTAGTTTTTCCAGGTACAGCGTGTTGCATTCGTTTTCTGCAACACGCGAAAGATACAGACAGGCAACGGCGTCACTTTGTGTTGAAAAGTAGTGGGTACAAAAGGGCTCAGATTTGGGATGTGACAATACACTTAGTTCACGAGATGTGGCGATGCACCATACTTGTGTTACAAGATCGAGATGTGATGATACATTAACAGTATTTAATTGAAATCCTGAAAGCTGAAATAGATAAGTTGGGGGTTCTCCCCCAGAAAAGTTTGAGCATTAAACACTTAATTACCTGCATTGTGGTGACATTTCCTGTTCTGCCTTTCCTACATCAATGTATGATGAAAATGGTTTTATTTATGTAAAGAGAAACACAATTAGTAGTTGACAATTAGTCGACAATTTAAAATCTAGTAACACAGAATATAACGCAGTGCAGCTCTCAGGCATTCTGTGTTACTCTGTGTTCTCTTATGTAATATCATCCCTGCTGAATTAGCACACATGCAGGCATGATTTTGATCCTCCCTCCTCTTTTGTCGTGTCCACAGGGAGAGAACAGAAAATTTGGCCAAACAGAAACTGTGACAAGAAGTTGCTAAATATAACTTATTGACTGGTGCTGCACGTTCTGGGGGCATTTTATAACCAGTAGCTTGTTTATTCTTACTTAAAAATGCAAATAAACACTTCACAGAGCACTTTCATGGGTTCTTTCATGTTGCAAGCTATTTTTCAAAGCATTTTAACAAATCTTTCAAAAAGTGATGGTCCCCAGCTAAAACACACGACACGATGGCGACACGTTTTATCCTGTTGATGCTCTGAACAATTAGCTTAGCTTACATTACTGGTTAATAACAGCGGGCAAAGGTCTAAACTTAGCAATAGTAATTTTACTATTTCTGAGAGGACAGTTAACATTTTAAGTTAGCTTACTTCTGTCTTACATCAGCCTTTTTTTTTCCCCGACGAAACGCTCGTTCGCAGACTTTTACCGTCCTCACGTGCTCAGCTGTCAGACTAAGTAGTGTAACTGACCGGAAAAAAGACCCGCCCTACGCTGCCTCTGATTGGCTGCTGGGTTGAGGTATTAGGAGTGATTGGTTAGAAAGAGCCAGCTGTAAAGATGCAAAGCTCATGCTAGAGAGGAGAGGACTCGGTAAATAGGCCTAAACGACGTCACACTGTACGAGTAAATCGCCTGTGATGTAAAGCTTAAGCTCACGATGTAGGTGATAGTCACGACATAAGCGCTCACAGCCGGTCGGCCTTAGCAGCCCGTTGTAACTGTTGACATTAATCAATAAAGATTTCTTTGAATGATCCGAGGGAGGTAGAAGTTTGTTTATTAGCAATCATGCTAACAGGGCAGAAACGTGCTGCAGCGTCTAAAAAAACAAAAAACAAAAAAGAGAGGCGCTGTTGTATTTAGACCAGGGGGCTGGGAAGATGTGCAGAGAGGTAAACCTAGCTACGTTTTTTTTGTACAGATTTTTAACTTGATACCGAGTATTGTGTTGCCATCTACAGTCTATGGTTGCCATGGCACTTTCAGGCGCCGTTCACCACTTTACGCATGCGCTGTGAGAAAAAAAAAAAGGCACTGATCGTGGGGAATCCACTCGTTCAGCTTCAACTGTGCGAGAGCCTGACGACGGCCGACAAAAAATTCATCCGCCCCTACAGACTGTACACCGCACGGCAAACGACGCCTGAAAATCGGGTCAGAAACGGGCTGAAATCGTACAGTGTACAAATGCGCAGATCACGTAGGTGAACCCATCTTTGTTTCAACACGGCGACTTCCCCCCGAAAGGTGATGAGTTTGCATGCCTGCATGTAAGCAGAGGTGAAAATAGGAAGAAATGTTTACAGCTACCGACACTCTGGTTTTAGCCTGAAATGTGCTTCTGTGTTTGACATGCAGAGATATGATTTTTAATACTGTAGGTGTATGCCAGGATACTTGGACGTAATACAGACATGTGCATTAGGTGCCACTGCTGCATCTACCAAATCAGAAACTCTATAATAACAGACACTTGATTCACTAATGTAGAGTGAGCAGTGAATTCAGACGCTCAATCATTATCATTTCAGTGTTGCAGGACAGAAAGTAGTGTGTGTGCCATTTGTTCCATTACGGGAATATTTGAGAACACTCTATAATGGATAGATTTACACACAGTTGAGACGCTGAAATAGGATGGCGTGGTTGTAAATAGGGAGTGTGAATAATTTGTTTTTGCTCTGTGCCACCACATATCCTTTTCAACCAATCACTGTGTGTGTGTGTGTGTGTGTGTGTGTGTGATGCACGAGAGGTGTGGTAGCTAGCACAAAAACCTCTTAATTTTATCCTTGCACACAAATGTGTTCACGTTTATCTTCCCTACTGCATGTTGCATCCTAAACTGGCAACAAATCAGGACACAGTTTGGTTGTCTTGTCTTGTCTGACTAGTGTAAGATTTAAAATCAGACTAAAAACCAAAAAGGTAACAGGCATTTGAATACTGTCACCTCAGGAAACTAATAGCCAGTGCAGCATGTGACCCTTGTGGTGAATTATCCTCCAAAGAGAAATGATGGTTGGTCATTTTGGAGCCTGTGTGAAACCAGAGACCAGAAAGTCATATCAGCACTTCAGCGCTACATTTCTCAGAATATCTCCAGAGAAACATGGTCCTACGCTTTTGGCCAGCTGAACTAACTGCACAAGCAACAGACAAAAATAAGCCCCTCTGGGCCTCATTTATAAAAGCTACTTAAAAGAAATACAAGCCAATTACAGACAAAGTGATCTTCATGCCAAAAAGAATCAGCTGCAAATGTTTTCTGTGACACAGAGTGATTTTTCTGCAGGTATGAGGTGTGAACACCATCTGCAAGACCTGCTTGTTCTCATGTCCTTGATATGACAGCCTGGTCGTCGAGGACAAAGAGGATTTTCTATAAATGAGGCCCCTGGATAGGACTTTCAAAGGAAAGTGAGTGAGTGAAAAAGAAATGGACACAGAAGATAAATGAAGGACGCGCTATCTGACCTATTCACCAGAGAGGAGAGCGGGAGAAAGACTGACCGGGCGATTTGTGTCAGCTATAAACAGAGAGGAGAAAGCAGACAGAGAGTAAAGAAGAAGAAGAATGAATGGATCAGAGATGGGTACGGACTGACCTCCTTGTCTCCTTTCTTTTTTCTCGTCTGGACCGAAAGAGACTCCACTTCGCTCTCAAATTGGTCCACTTCCATGTTCAACGTGTCTATCGTATTCTGGAGGAAAGAGAGAGAGAGAAAAGTACAGTTCATTCACAAAGTAATATACCTTTAATACCACGGCTGAAGAGTGAAGATGCTGTTAAACTAACGGATTCATCTGAAACGATTAGTCGATTAATTTGCAACTATTATTATTAATGGAAGTGGCTGCTGGTTAATGAGGTTTTCAGGCTTTGTTATTGTGAATTTTTAAACTGTGGTTTGTCTTAATTTTGCTTTTGGTTCCACTTTTATCTCACTTTCAGTTCCAAGTTTTGTTAAAACAAAAACAGCAGCAAAGAGAAGTCACGTCTGGCTTATGCATTCAAATCAGTTTCTTATTTTTGAGGATGTGAATGACAAATTAGGACAATAGCAGAATCTGAGTCTTTGCAAGTTTGTTATTTAGGTTACTTTGAGACAATACTGTGTGTAAATGTTTATATCCTGTTTTCCTGTGTTGCTCTGTATGTAATGACATGCAAAACAAGGGTGATAATTTGACTAAGTTGATGTGTGAATTGGAGCTGATCATTAAAATCCTCAAAGGTTTGCACAACTTGAGTGACGCTAGTAGCAGAAGACCCATCAGTGGAATAATACAAATGGCTGAAAAGGGAACCGAAATGTTTTCTTAATGGCAATTAAACAACAAGAGGACATAGTTAAGTATTTTGAAACCATAGAACATGGCTTTATTTTCTCAGTTTATCAGTATGTTCAACAGCGACAGTCCTCACTGGAATCAAGGAGATATTCCCTTTACTGGTGTACTGGTCTTTCTTTCCTGGTCTGCAGTGTAATAAAGATTTTAAGCACTGCACCAGGGCCTTGTTTCAGAAAGCAGGTTTACTCTGAGTTTGTTAAGCCTGAGATGAGGGAAACTCTGGGTTTTCCATTCCAGAAAGAGGATTAACTTCAACTCAGGGTCAGTTACTGTTTCATTTCCCCATTCACATGGTCGATATCGAAGCACATACGAAACACGTTCTTTTGCAGATGTTTACGTCTTTAGAAACGTTTTTTTTTTTATCAAGATGTTTATTTTGTTGAGGAAAAAGGACTGAACAAAGCTTTTACTTAATTTTATTCATACATATTTGTTGACAAAGATTTTATCATAATTGTTTTGAATGTGCTACCTCAGATTTGTGCAGTGATCCAGTGTTTGGAATCAGTGTTGACCATAAAGAAGAGCTTAAACCACAATTAACCATCTGGTTTCTTCAACTTTTACTCAGGAGCCGCCCTTTAAACTTGAAAGAAATAACGATTTGATACTTATCGATATTGAAAGATATGAAACTTTTTATTATAGCATTTGTGGCCATATTGTCCAGCCCTAGGACGTAGACAGCGATTTCTGGACATCCTGGATTCATTCTCAGTTCAGAATAAAATCTGTAGGCTGCACTGTCCTTTATAACGCTGTCACTCTGTGGAGGTTAACGCAGCTGTCAGGCTGGCAACAGTTGCACTGAAACATCTACCGCGGGCTACATTACTGCAGCAACACTGTTTAAATCAAACATTTCTAACATTGGAACCCTCCTATCATAGTACTCATGTTGGAGATAATGTTTAATATTAGCTGCTTATAGTCTTAAGTGTTTTGACAGTATTTTATTAAATGTGAAAAGAGCAAGATTTGTTTGTGTAAAAATAGATTTAAAAAAAGTTATAGTCAGTTTGAACATAGACACATTTTCAATTGAAAATCAACAAAATCATTATTCCTGCATCAGACTGTGATTTACAGTCATAGGTCCATGAGTAAACTGTTGTCTCTGTTTGATCCATATTTTTAATTTCAGGTATAGCCACGGGCATTTTGTCCCCATCAGTAAACCACTGTATAAATAATGATAAAGTGCTTGACTCCTCCTCTATGTTGCATTCGGTTTTTATTAAAAATCAAATTTAACATGAAGGAGTCAAGCACTTTATCATTTTTTCAGGAAATTCAAGTCTGCTAACTGGTGAATGAGCTACGCTGAATAAAAAGCAGTTTAATTTAAGTTATTGACTCCTTTCTCCACTCTTGACTTAAATAAATGTCAAGGTCTGTGTTGGCACATATTCACATTTGTAGCGCCAACAGAATGAAATGGAGGCTCTGCTCTTTAAATAACCGTTGAATCATAGTATTGAAGCTCTAATTGATGATGGCTGTTTTATTCCCCCCAAAAGTGATTTATCTCAGAGTAAACATGCAGACTTGATTGAAACTATTATTAATTTACTTAATGATATTTATGATATTATGTGTGTTGTCTTTAAACATGCTCTGTAAATAAACACGGCTAATATGGAAAGATGCAGCTGTTCCCGTCACAAACTCACAGCTGACAACATGCACACGTCCATTTAATAATGAAGCTCACCGTTAGCCACGTGCCGACCTCCTCCTTCTCCTTCTGGGCCGGGTCCACCTTCTGGGCCAGACCCAACCCTTCTTTTGAATACGCTTTCGTCTTTGTTTCTCTCTCCACTATTTTGAACCGCTCCATTTGCTACAAGCAGACACATACACAGACAAAAAGGCAAACAAATCATGTATAAAAATAGCTTTACTTGTTGATACAGGTGGATTACACTGTAATAAAACCAAGTAATAAGGACTTTTATAGCAGAAAAACCCCCCACTACCTTTACAACCCAGAAAATAGAGGAAATAAGTGATTCCATTAAGTTCTTAAATAATCTTAATGATGGAGCTGTGAAATAGGAGGACTTGGCAATAATGACTGAAAGCCTTGCACTAGAGGAGCCATTAAAGCCCACTCAGCAGACCAGAAATAGGATGTCTGTTACTGAAGGTTGTTAGAGCCTCTTCTCTCCTGTATAAAAACCGCAGCATTTTAAAAACCCAACCTGTTTTCAGACATGTCCAAGGTCTTAAAGACCGTGATGACGAGGCTCTAAACTCTAACACTAATTTTGCAATATGATCCATCTTGACCACATCCTGTCTCTAACATGCAGCAACTGTAATGTTCCTTTTTATTTGGGTCAAGACAAGATGTTAAACCAAACCAAACCCCCGGCCGCTTCCTGCAGGACTCTTGTGGCTGAATGTATAATTTCAGGTCAACCAACAAAACCACAGGAAGTCTTGAAGAGCATCTTTGGGATAAAACCCAAGCTCTGGAGATCAGAGAGAGCTGGCAAGTTGCTCTCGTCCCTCATTGTGAAGGCAGGTGGCTCACATTCAGTCCATCTCAATAACCCTCATCAAAGACTCATGTGGCTTGGAGGCGGGGGTAGCCACGCTAAAGAACAGGTGTTAGATAACGGACCAGCTCCTATGTTTCCCAGCTCTCTATGAAGAATGCCATAATGAGCATCTCCTGGGTGCAGTTCTTTATTTAAAGGGCTAATCTGCTAAATTATTGTGGCAACATATTTGCTTTTTCTGCACAACAAATGCTAATTTTTTTTTTTTTTTTACAACTGCAGTTTGAGTTTCTGCAGATGGTGATCTTGTCTTTTACTGTTTAGCCATTCTTTTTCTTTTGTTTATTCTAAACAAACCAGAGTAGTTACGGCCGAATCGCTTTTACCTAAATGAGTTAAGATCAACAAGGTAAAAGCTTTAATACATCTAATAAGCTTTGAATCATTATTGCTCTATTTAAATTTTAGAGTGAAAAGAGAGTTACGGAAGAGGACTTTTATTCGCATAAAAGCATTACAGATTTTTTGTGACTTAGTAAAGTAAAGTAAAGTAAAGAAGTAATGGCAAATGAAAGTAAGTTAAGAAAAGCATAACCCTAAGAGTTTGTCCCATTTTCAAGACACAATATACAGGATTAATGCATATTCTTGATGAGTCTGAGATGCAGATGAACAACTTTTGTCTGAGCTTTAGGAGGACAATGCTGTATTTCATCTAGGTTGGATTATTGTAATTCATTATATTCAGGGGAAAGCTAAAAAGCTATCTCACAACTTCAACCAGTACAAAAAGTAGCTGCTCGACTCTAAACACTAGAAAACAAAACCACTTCAGTCCTCTTTTAGCCTCTCTTCACTGGTAACCTGTAAGTTTTAGAATTGATATTAAGATTTCTCTGATCACTTTTAAAGCGCTTTATGTTTCTGCTCCCAGCTACATTTCTGAATTGCTGCTCCCCTGTGAACCAGAACGCAGCCTCAGATCCTCGGGCATAGCGCTGTTAGGCTTGTTCCTAAGTCCAGGTTTATGACCAAAGGCTCGTAGGATCAGTGACATCTTTTAAATCCCCTTCTCAAGACATACCTTTACAATACAGCCTTTTATTAATTTTAGAGCATCATTGCATTTCTATCTTGTCTTATATGTCCATTTTAACTGCATCACTGTTGTGGAATCTTATTTCTTTTTAATTTTGTCATTTTAAATTGCCTGAATTAATTTACCTCCGTCTTGAAATATTTTTAATGCGTGTTCAATCATGTAGATAATTTTGTAACTCTGCTTTTGTAGGCGCTATATAAAAAGCATACTGGTAATTGGATATGTTGTAGGAGAGGTTTCTAATTGGAACTAGGCTTTTAATCGACGTTTTACGAAATTTACGTCTTTTCTCTTTTTTGCACAAGGCCAAGGCCAGTCTTTGAAGAAATTACATAAACTCTTAGGCCCTGATAAAAACTGCAAAAAAACTTTTCTACTCCAAACTTTTTTTATTTTGCTGTTTCCAAAGTCAAAACTGGATTTTTCTGTTTGTGTTCTTTTACACAAAAACAAATGTTTCAGGGACATAAATGACAAACGTGAACACAAATAAAACGCCAGTATATTGAGTGTTATCAGCGGGTAAATCACTGAAATTCATCCATCACTGAAGGTCAAATATGTTTTGGTAAACTGCTAATCTATATAAATCAATGACAGAGATATTTATTGCCTAACATGTGACAGATTTAAGTAATTTATAAGACCTGAAGTTTGTCAAATACATTCTCAGACTTTTCAAGACTTTGTTAAAGAAAAACACAACCCTCCAGATTAAACATGGGTCCTGCAGGGAGTGTTATAATGAGCGTGATGCGCCCTACCTCTCCTCTCTTCAGTTCCTACTCACCGTTTCGATGAGTTTGCGGTTATCTACTAGCTGCCTTTTGTCTTTTATCTCGTTGGATGCCACCCACGTCTTGATCTGGTCTCGAAGACGCTGGGGGACCAGAAGAAGAAGAAGAAGAAGAACAGAGAGAGTGTGAGAGAAACAGGGAGGAAGACAGATTGGGAGAGACGCACAGCGAGAGAGAGGGAGATACAGATACATCAGTGAATACGTGCAGGGACCCGTCCTCAGCAGTCATGGACGATGAACCTGGTGTCACCATGCAGCGCACACAGGCTTGGCTTGGAGTTTGGTATTCATGGTAACACTGAGATCAAGCACACACTGCCTCTGGCTGACCATGGTGATATTTAATACTCCACTAGCAAACATACACACACACCTCTGTGTATGAGCAGGTTAAACAATTTCAGATCAGGAAACAATCACAGCCCTTTCTGCTGATTTCAGAGCCCAAAATGGAAAAATATCAGACCTCAAAAAGTTCACTTGCTGATTGGCTAGAAATGAGAAAATATTCCCCAATTTAATTGTTAATCCAGCTGTAAATTCACACAGAGCACATTGCATTCAAATTTCCATCAGATCAGCCTGACTGGAGGTGGTCTGGCTCACTCTGATCAGATCTCAGCTTGGTGTAAATGTGATGTAGAGCTGAAAACAATACATTGATTAATCCATATGTGCACCTTCTCTCTGTATTTACCTGTAGCTTTTTAATCTCTTTCTTGAGGTCTGCTTCATATTTCTCCTTCTGGTTCGCGTTGGCTGCATTGTGAAGCTGTGGATGAAAAGAAACCAGAGGGTTCAAACAGATTCAGGTCCAAAACAATACAGAGTTTCCTCTCATTTATGTAGAGTTCAAAATTCAACATATACACTGTACTTATTGATAGTTTAGTCTGAAAAATGTCTGTCACTAAGGCATTTGCTCATACTTTTAAAATGAAACCTTTGTACCATCAGTTAATTTAAGGACAACTCTATTGATCTATGTGGAGAAATTAAGTTTGCTGCAGCTGCAAAAGCAACAAGAAAACTCTTTAACTTTAAATAAAATAGATGATAAAATAAGCTGTAAAAACAAAAAAAGTTGGGGGATGTAAAACAGTCCTCCGAGAAGCCAAATGGAACTGCAGTGACATAACTATGGTATCACAATAAATACAGGATATAATGAAGAAAATAAGGGCAACTGGGACCTTTCTGCCTCTTTAATGGCAGAACTGATCTATGCTCTGGGCCTCTGCGCTGCTGTTAGCTCTGCCCCAAAGCACCGTTTTATTTAACAGCTGCATTCACACAGTTTATTATAAGTATCATGGGTTTTGTCCATTACGCGGTGGAAAATTGTAGAATTGTGACTATGACTACTTTGTCCAAGCTCACAAGAGTTAGAGAAATTCACCTCAGAGGCAGAAAGGGCAAGAAATTAAACTAATGCAGCAAAGTAAACGATACAATCTGAAAGAAGTGACATTTTTTTACTTAGCAAAAAACATTTCCTTCTCTTAAACATCCTTCACTCCTCTAAATCTTAGTCTGAATGTGGCTCACAGGGTAGAAAACCACAGTCTAAAATTTACCAGGGTTTTTTATGTTTATTCCCCAACCAATACAATGAAAATCAAGGCTAAATCAATTAGTCGACTGGCAGAAAATCTATTAATGGTTTTGAGGTTTTCTCCAAGATTATCTAGTTCCAGCTTCTCAAATGTGGATGTCCACTGGCTTCCTTAGTCGTCTACAACTGTTGAATGAATATCAATAGGTTCTGGACAAAACATGTGGAGCTTGGATTTCTTTTGTTATTATTTCTTTTACTGTTTTCTAATACTTTAAAAACCTCTGGTTCCCGCTTCTCAGTTTTAAACCATTGTCCATGTGGATCAGTACTTAAAAAAGGGGCTCTCGGAAATAGTGACGGGCATTTTTTTTTACTATTTTCTTACAAACAAAATGATAACTCAAAACAATACTCTATAAATCAACAGTGAAAATAATCATTTGCACAGTCCCAAAGTCCCAGTGATGATCCTTCCTTACTTTTTGCCAAATGTCTTCAAACTGTTCCACTCCTTCCGCTACTTTTTTCAGACATCGATCTATTTCACCTGGAGGAGAAGACAGGAGCAGAGTAACAGGGAGGATAAGAGAAACATGGTAATGATATATGTTTTATAAACATGTCAAAACACGCAGGACCAGTTCCAAGAAGCAGAGTCACTGATTATCTGGAATAAAAACCAGAACACGTCTATTAAATTGGTCATTCCATGTTCCAGATTGTGCACTCAGCAAAGTAATCTAGGAAACAGAGTAAACCTGCTTCTTAAAACACAGGCCACTGGACGGTTATCACACACACACAAAAACAACAACACTCTATATAACAACAGCACATTTACAAATCATGTTCGACATCTCATGAAATATGCATATCGTAAAAAGGTACATTATGCTTGTAAACGAGAGGCAACACACAAAACATATCCTCTGCACACACACACACAAATATAACCCACCATGTGGGGATATCAAGATATTAACATAAGTGGTTGAAGGAGGGTTTGGTAGTCAGTAGCAGAAGAAGTACTCTGAACCTTTACTTAAGTAAAAGTACCACAAAAAAATTTGCATTAAAAATAGGCCTACTTAAAGTACCAACAGTGAAAGTAGTAGTACGCAGAACTTGTTATGCATTATGAGTAAGCATTACTTTCATGTTTCAACTAGCAAAGGTGGGGCTTTGTACTTTATAAAGGGCTGGGTATCTTACAATAATCTATAATAATACAAATATCAGTTGATTATATTTTTTATTAATAATTGGAATCTGAAAAGTAATTAGTAACTAAAAGTTATCAAATAAATGTACAATATTTCCCACTGAAATGTAGTGGAGTAAAAGTATAAAGTAGCACAAAATGGAATAGTACAAGCACCTCAAAGTTACAGTACTTAAGTAAATGTACCACCACTGGACACTGGGAACTACGAGCAGGAGAGACGGGGAGGACTGGGGACACTTTAGGAAACATGCAACAGAAAGACTAAATGACAGTCTGAGCTTCTGCAGAACACCAGAGTTCCTGTTTCAAGTCACTTAAAAAAAAACTTGGCGTGAAACCTCAGATCTCAATATTTCTAACATAATATTGTTTTGATTGTTATTTGCTCAATTGTGCCGTCACTGATGGAGAAACCACAAGTAACTACTGGAGTAGTCGAAACCAGACTGCAGCTTTGACTAAGTTGTGTGAACAAACTCCAGTTTGCGTCTGACCTTAAACTGCCTTGATGTTAAGATTCTACTGCGGGCGTGTTATTTTTAGATGAAAGTCTACCTCCTCGGTAATAATACATTACAATCTGACAGGGCCTAGAAAGAGCTTGTGCTTAATCTTTTCTTCTTCACGAAGACATTATAAGGGAGATACATGTGTGTTTTTAATATGATTGACGTTTAGTTGGAGAAGTCACAGGAGGGAACGTGAAGGGATAAGTGATGGTGGCAGAGATTCAACAATCTACACAAAAATTGTGTTTTCAGCCTGCAGTGACAAACATCAGTTGAAAATAACTGTATAGTCAAGGACTCGGAGGAAACTTTCTGTGGGACGGCAGAGTGTCGAGGTTTTCTGTCTTTCCACAAAGGTCTGGGTCGGGTTACAAAGCTTGTTGTGGTGAGTGTCGAGCTTTGGATGCATTATCATCTGAGCACTGTGAACTGTTCCAGACACCAGTCAACACTAGCTGCACTGGTACGGTCACACTGTTTAAATTTTTAAAATAAATGCTCTGAGAAGAGACCAGGAGAGCAGCAGAGGAGTCAGATCCTGACTGTTCTCACTGGAAACAGAAGTAAGTCTGTCTGAAGCCTGAAACCTGCTCTGTGGTGTCTGTGAAAGTGTGCCAGCACAGTGAGCAGACTTTTGCACAGATGTCTGCCAACACGCATGGACGCAATGTCGCCCTGTGCACAACGAGGCAGTGTCACATTCACCAAACAAAAACAGGAAGAGAAAACAAACAGAAACCTTTAAATAGGGATAGGACGTGTAGAAAAAATTCTTATTCTCACTCATTCTTATTTAATACAGCAATATTGACATAGTATGGTACATTTTCTGGACAAAATAATAATAATGGTCTCTTTTTGCAAATCAAGGTACTTATCACATTGACGCTACAATCGTAACCATTTATACAGCAGTCCTGCTCACTGTTTTGCACCACTGTTCACTACATCCTCATAAACGTTTGATTTAATTTGAATCACGAATTATCAGGATATTTATTTTGTTGAGGAAAAGGGAAGATTTTACAGACCATTTACAGGTAAACTTTCTGTCAATCGACTAATTGTAACTGTAGGACTTATCGCTTAAGCAAAATACAAAAACGTTCACAGCTCTCAAATGTGAGAATTAGTTGCACTTCCTGGTTGCATTTTAGAAAACTGAATATCATTTGGTTTAGGACTGTCAGAAAAAACAAGACATGTGATTTCGTCACTTTGGGGTCTAGGATATTGTTTTTCAGTTTTCTAATAAGTAAACAGGCTATAACATGTAAAACAAATGGTATGGTGCTTTATGGGTGAACTGATTTAAACAGGTGCCTTTTCTCCCTCATTTAAACCTGCAGAGCGGTCCAGTGGGAGTAATTACACAACACCGTCGACATGTGCTTATGACGAAGAGGCTCTGCAATACTGAGTTCACTGAGTCACTACAGTAGCCCCCCCTCCAGCTCTTGAAAACCAATCATTGCTGTCTGGCATAAAACACATCACTACCGAGCGTATGAATGTCTCCAGAGGTCCCAAGATTTAAAAACTCCAGTATACTGCGAATGCAGAGAGATTTAACTGCCAGTGATAGGCTTAATAAGCATTGTGTGAACTCGTAATAAATCGGTCGGCTGATTATTAGGACGATTATCTGCATAAGTCGATCCTAAATGATCTAAGATCTAATCTAAAACTATTACTGGTTAGTGTCAGGGCTGTGCAAAGTGACAAAAAATTCATATCCGATATAGGTAATTTCATATCCCAATAACGATACATATCCCGATATAGAAAATTAAATTCAATGAAATAGGGCAGTTACTCAGGATATTTCTCTGCATTATAAAGGAGGGTTTGTGATTCTGGAGAAGTTCAACTCCATGACTATACCATGATAGGGTGAACAACGATACAGCGACTTCTTCTTGCTGACCAGACAGCGACACTCACAGCTCTCCTGCAACTGGGGGGGGGGGCTTGTAATTGTACTTCATTCTCCACTTTATTTAATTGTCACTCACTTATTGAATCTGCCTCGTTCAGTTCTCTTCACACTCTTCAGACCTCTGCTGCAAACACGTCAGCGTGCTTCGCTTCTTTCAGTCTCTCCCTCCCTGTATATCTGCTCCGGTGACTTTCTCTATCAGTGGTAAGCTATGTTGTATAAAGTCGCCAAAAAAAACAATTGCCTTCTGGACTTTTCCACCCGCGATTCTTTTCACAGCAGCAGCTGCGCCGCATGCAAACGACATCTGACTGGTGTGTTCACTCTCACTTTACCTGGTCCGCTCTTGTAAAATATCCACCGTGTCGTGACTTGTAATGTAATAACTCTGTGTTTCTCTGATGAATGCTACAATGTGTCGCCAAATATACCTGGGCAGCCTTTACTCTACATGGGCGTATGTGCGGGAAACACTGACTGAACTGTGTTTTTTTTTTTTTACAAGCCAGATCTTCAGCACTGTCATGTTGTTCATGTGAGAGTTTGTGAGTAGACAGCTGCGTGCAGACGCAGAGGGAGGGCAGGAAACATTAATTAACTCATCATCAAACTATATCTGTATAAATGGTATCGTCTAATTTTATATGTCTTTTGAAATTATAATCGTATACCTCATTATACCGCCCAGCTCTATTGCTGGCACTGTTGGATTGTGTTGTGTGGCTCGTTCATTTTTTTTAATGCAAATTTCTTCCCTGCAACACCAGCACATACAGAACAACGGACCGTATTGAAGTTAGTTTCAAGTTGGATATTAGTTTTAAGTTGGACATATGATAGATGTAGAATTCCAACTTCAAACTAACTTCACCACCGTGCACCGTTCCCTCACCAAAATATTACGGTAAAGCGTGGAATTTGCAACAAAATTATATAAAAGATATAAACGACAGAAGATATTTATCTCAAATGATAGACATCATCATATTGCACAGCCCTAGTTAGTGTTAAATATATGTTATTGTTATACTGTTGAGAATAAGGCAGTTGAATGATGTCACTGTACCCCATTTTCATTAAACACAAATACCATCTAAAACAACATGTTACAGACTGAGATAACATGTATATTAGATTATACTCTGAATGGAATAATTAAAGAAAATGACTTTTCTTTGTTTTGATATCGGCATTATATATCGACCCCTCTGCTCTCTTGGCGTCAGCCATCGAAAAACACATTTCGTTCGACCAATACAGTGAACTTGTTTCGCAAGGGCTTTAATCTAGCTGTAAAAGTCACGTACTGTAGCTTCAAGCTGATTTAGCAGGTGAGAACATATGAATCCTGGTGGCAAGTTTCTGTCCACTTCTAAGCTAACTCTGGCACATTTTTTGGGGGGACAGAAAATAACCCAATCCAACAACTCTACACAGCCTGACACAGACACAGAAAGAGACAGATACCGACGCTGAGGAATCAGAACAAATCAACTGAGCCAAAAACCTCTAACCTGGCAGGACGACAGCTTACACAACCTAGTGAACAAGCTACTTGTGAGCGCATGTGATTTTTGTTAAACAAGCCCTGGTTCTCTTTTAACCACGCAGCATGAACCACACAACACAGTACATATTCCCACCGTACGTTACATAACACACAATAACCAAGCAGAGGGAGGCGTGATCACACTTGAGCTGTAAGCAATTTAAACAATGTTATGTTTGTTTGAATCTACTTACGAGTGACAGATGGGTGGAGTTAACTACAAAGATGCCATCAGGGGACTTTCCCTCACAGCAACAGAAATAACACACTGACTGACTCGGAAAGGCTTTTCTGTGACTGGGACGCTACCTGAATTACATCATTTGTCGTAGACTGACCCACCAAGCACCCGATCAGACCACAACAAATCCCACCGCCTATTTGCATTAACTCTTTTTGTTTAGGACACACACACACACACACACACACGCATCTCACCTTGAAGTTTCCTTTTATCGGCCATGACTGATGACTAGGATGATGTCTTCATGCCTTCTTTCACTGCTGAAAACAGAAACAAAGAAACCATTTATTTATGTATTTATTGGTTAACATAAACAAGGCTGGTGCACATTAATACCGTTGTGTAAATGTGATTTCTCTATGACTCTGTAACCTTAAGAACATAAAAATTAAAACTGTTATTGTAACAGGGTATACTGTGGGCGTGCAGAGAAAATGTCACTACAGGTGAAAGAATCACCCTCCCGTGGATACTTTTACTTTTACATCTGTCATTTCAAGTGTTGCAAAACTCCTTTTGTACACCTAAACCTGCCTGTTCAATGTCTACATCAGCTGATGATTTCTTTTCAGCAACCCCAGAGGACAAGTCTGAACTTGTTGCATTTAATGCCCCCATTCCACTGCCTCAATATAACATGATTCAGGAGCTTCCTGGCGTGCCAAGTTGTGATCATATATATTTCCTGTCTACACAGCTGATTTGCAGGGACTGACATCAAAACCTGACGTTAATTGTTTGTTTAAATCATTTTCTGCAATCAGTGTTTAACACCAAAACCCCAACGAGACGTCATCAAACAACAAACTGGACCAAGATTGTTTTATGGTTGATGTTTCCTCTGATGCTGATGATAGTGGCAGTAATGTTGTCTTTCTTCACATTTACTCAGTGTCTTTTTTAAGATAAATACAAGTACAACTTTCTTCATAACAGCTATACTTTGTTCAATGTAATAAACACTATCTATTCCTTCAGTTGCAGACAGCAGCAGCACGAAGTAAAAAAATCTGTGAAGCAGAGATTGGTCAAACTCAAAACAAGCACCTACGATTTGTCACATAGCTTACCTGTAAATATTAAGAGGGAGCACTGTGACAATCTCACCTGATCTCCAGCTTTTTTAATTGTATGTTTGGTTATTGTTTAAAATTGTATGTTCATTATTATTGCATACAGATAGCTAAGATACAAAAACAAGGCTTTTTAAATACCTTACTTTGTGGTGAAACCCAAGCTCACAATGTTAAATATAATTTATCCAACAACGTCACGAGAACTTATCTAAATGAAATCGGTACAAATTTAGAATTTTATCAGGGACTATGTAATAAAAGAATAAGAAAACATTCGACGCCAGCTTCCAATAGTCTGGATATGGTTCAGTAGGTGACATAAAGCAGTGATGTTCAATACCCAGCTCTGCTTAACTGTGGAATCCAAAAGGTGAAAAGGACAGTATTTTTCAAAAAAGGTGCTTCTTCTAAACCTCAGTGACATTTTTGAGATAAGACTTTATTTCTGTCATTGATTTTCACAGCAGTACAACAATATCATAGCCTCATCGTGATTCCAATGAAAGATTATATTATTTCTATATGAGTATTACGAGTATGGTCTCAGGAGCGTCTACCAGAAATTCAGCAGATTAAAACTATTATTTGGGAGGTTACTTTCTGTTCTCAAAAGCTATCGAGTGTGATTCACGGCCTTCACGTGTGTTTGAGCTGTACAGGGTTTAACATCATGTCATGCTAATCTGCGTTTCCCAATAAGGCGGTTTAATCATCAGCTCAACTTTCCCTCCCACCACACGTCTGATACACCAGACACATAGATAATTGCTACTTGGTGGATCGGATGCACGTCAAAATGAAAAGTCGATCCCCTTGATCTATAAAAAAGGCCCCAAGCTGCATTCAATAAAGGCATGTAGAGCATGGGAAATGGAGCGCCAGCTGAGTTGACATATTTTTTCGTGTGGCGGATGGGACAATATGCCATCTCAGCTTTAAGGTACAAACAGACAGCAGGTGAGCAGAGGGCCCGTTACCAAGTTGAGACACGGGCTATTAAACAAAGGCATTTCTGACCACTGCTTGTGCAGCAGAAAAATACTGTTTATGACGCTTTTCTGACATCAACACGGAGGAAAACTGTTACAGAAGAACAAATAAAAAGCCTCAGTTCAGCCAACACACTTGTTTCCATCATCATCCCAAGCCTGTGGTTCCCATTCTGTAGCCTGGATACCATTAGGGGTCCTTGAAGGCGTTTTCATACATGCTTAAATTGAATTTCACTTTTCATTTTACTTACTGCAAACATATCCAAATGACAACAGTTACTCATATATCAAAACAAAAACTCTACTTTTGGGAGGGATTAAATATTTCTTAAATGATAATCTGGATACGCTTAGGTGGTCTTAAAAGAAAATACTATGTCATAGTTTGTTAAATACTATTTATATTTAGCTACTTATATAAGTAGTAAGCTTTTCTTATTTTTCTGAAATATAACTTGCACAGTGTGACATCGGTCATTGATTGCTGCCTTTGTTAATAACAGTAAGGTGAATAAAAATACCTGGATGCGGCTGCAATGTTTTGTAAGATTGATTGATTAAAAAAAATAATAAAAAAGTTGTTTCTTGACAAACTATTCAAAACATTCAAGGAATGTACAGGAATGAATTTACGGACATGATTTCTTGTGATGAGAGGATAAAAAAGGAGCCTTGAGATTGTTAACTGCGCTGACTGAGTGCGAATTCCTGCTGATGCAGAAACAAACCTGCATGACTGAATTTAACTTCATAAATACGGATGTTATTTAAATAGGCGAGTCAACCAGAGGACAACTCACAGTGTGACACTGTTTTTATTTAGGTTTTCAAGTTTACAAAAATCTGTCAGTGTCAATGAGGGCAGATTAAATATTAGAAACATGATGCTTTTTGAAATGATTGCTCAGTGCTGGTCGTGTGAAGAGAAGCCAAATGGCATTCCTTCAACACTATAAATTTAAAGGCTGTCGTCCCGATCATTATGATGAATTTGTGAAGCCCAAAGAGAAACCTGTCAGCAGCAGCTTTCTTATTTTGCCCTTTGAACGTGCATCAGCCAGTGGGGCATCCCATTACTCACTACATGAGAGACTTTATGTTCTCTGAAGTTAGGCGGGAAAAAATCTACATCAGCGTCGCCATCAGGACAAAATGAGTTTGAAAACATTGCCATATCGGATATCGGCAAATATATAATATCGTGCGACCCTGAATTACCATTAAAACTTTCATGAATGTTGGGTTTATTGCAGGGTTTTAGCTAGTTGTACCGAACAAACTTTGAAGTAAGTGACTTGCCAATGCAGACGTATCTGTGATAAGCTAATATCAACAGATAGTATCACCTACTAAGTGAAATTAGTTGATGAGTTTAGTCTTTCCCTGGCATTGGTGAAGCATTACGGTACGCACCCATTTTGATCATATCAAGATGTCCAAGCATTTAAGATGCCGGCCATGTAATTGTGACGTCCCAGGTTTCAAATCCGACCTGGGACATTTGGTAAATGTCATCTCTCCTGCTTCCCTTTCCTGTCGCTGTCAAATAAAGATTTAAAAAATGCCCAATAATCACCCACCGCTAAGTGATACTGGTATCAATGTGATTCTGGGGGGATAAAATCTTTATCAAATGATAATCTGCATAAACTTAGGTGGCTTTAAAAAAAAAAATGTCATAGTTTGTTTCTCATTTTCTGAAATACTATTTGCACAGTGTGAAATCTGTGGTGGTTCATATCACCCACCTTTATGTGACCAAATTAAATGTATTTGCACCCATACACTTTAGATATCTTGCATTTTTGTCCTGACTATTCATGGTGTACCTGATGTTTTGTCAATTTCATACATTGGTGCAAAAGAAACAGTATTTCAGACTTCACTAAAGTCTGACGCAGAGCTCACCTGCATGTCCTAGTCTTGTAACCGCACCACAGGTTGATTAACACGACAAAACCTGTCTTAGCTTTAGCATGACTTTTCCAGACAGGTGCGCGCACACACACTCACATCTGGGCCGCCGTTGTCCTGCTAACACACATTTCACACTGAGCAGCTGACTTTGGGAACAATTGACTCTCTTGCTGTGTGTTTCCCGAGGATTTTACAATCAAATACAAAAACTAGCTAACGCCAAAACAACCATGCGGTGTTCTCGGGAAAACATTTGTTAGCCCGGGATGTTTATAAACAAAACGCGCATCTTTAGTGACCAACAGCTGCCCGTGGGAACAAACACCCGAGCAGATACACGCCAAAACAAAGTATTCAAGTTATTACACACCGCGGCTCTGCAGAAGAAGTTGTGCTTTCCTGTTTTTAAGCTAACACACTACAAGTTGACAGTGTAGAGAGCTGCAGCTTCCCACCGGCTGCTCTATTTGCTGTGGGAGACTCAATTTGGAAAGGGGAGAGAGGCAGAGAGAGAGAGAGAGAAAGGGGGGAAGGCACATAAATGCATCACCTTTGGCTCTGCTACGAAATTACCTGGATTTTTCCGAGTTACGATTTTTTTCCTCAGTCGCCCCGCTCCGGTAAATCTTCAACGATTCAGTATAAAGGCTGTTTTTCTAAAAAATGTTTCAATTCTTCTCGCTAAACAATCACTCCGCACATCAAAGATGGCTACCAGGAACACCTCCTCCTCCGTTGCCCTGTTGGACGGGAGTCCCGCCTATCTTGTTTGTGATTGGCCCGCTGCTGCCACTGCTGTACTCCTATTCGCCGAAACCCGCTGTCTGTCAAGAGACGCTAGTTTTACTACTTCCAGGAGAGCTCCCGCTATGATTGGACGGCTTGGAAAGGTGAAAGGGCAAACTCAGTTTTTTTTAAATTGCTTTATTGAAAGCTTTTTTTTTTTTACTTTGTCAGGGATGGTGTATAATAGGGTCAATGTCGTATAAGGACTTTCAACAGGCCACTTTATAATACAAAAATTAAAACATTTATTGGTGTTGTTCAAACATTAAGAAGCCTGTGTACACATAAATTAATGTATTTTTTGTGTATTTGTTTCAGCTACATAAACTGTTTGTGGCCTTACAAAATTTCATGTGGTGCGACCATAATTTATTTAAAAATTAATTAATTTCCTTTTTTAGTTTTAATTTAAAATTTTCTTTAAGATACAACATTTTTTGCTTTTTTTAGCGACTCCGCTCTTGCTGCAGGGTTAAAATTAACATGCCGTTCAATGACGAGCAGTTTTTCTTTATTTGGGAGTGTCTGGTAAAACAGTTATAATTAATTAAATATTATTAATATTGCATAGTTACCAAAGTGAAATTTTCTAAATATTTTTGGGGCATTTTTCTCATGATATTGTACAAAGACTAAAAACAATCTGTTGTTTCTGAAATGTAAGAAAAAGTGTGTCAAATTGCAGAAAAATCTATTCCAAATTATACTACAATAAAAGTCCTTTATATGTAAAAGTCATAAATTGAATATAAAAGGACAAAAACTAAATTGCCAATCATGGAAACCACTTTTCAGCGGTCGCACCACATGATAGTTTTTAATTTAGTCAAAATTTACAGGCAGAGAATAGGTCACCTAAACAAATCAAGTTAGCGTCCTACAAAAGGACTCCATGAAATTTATAATCAAAACAAATATTGGTAGAAATAACTTTATATTAATTGTTTTTCCGAGGTCACATGATATCCAAAAACTTGTAACTACATACCAGCTGTTAAAATTTTACATTTTTCCAGATTTGAGTTAAAAACCTACTTGCTGTTTTAATGGGTCCTTGGCAAATAGGTATATTATTATATATACATATATTATTCAGCTTCCTGTATGCTAATGGATTTCAACATAAAAGTACCAAAGTGGTCAGTTGTTGTTTGTTTGCTTGTGTATTATTGTGGATATATAAATACGGTAGATAAGATGCTTTGCGATTTTGTAGAGGACTACAAAACACTTTGGAAATCATGTGTAATGTGTAATTTTTTTATGGTAGGCTGACAAAAGGTATGAGAAGAAGCAGAGTTCCTGCTGAATTGCATATAAAACATTTGTTTCGCAGAATATTGCTTGAGAAATCATGTGCATCAATCATCAGTGAAGAATATGAGGTGGTGTGTTTCAAGCTATCAAAATAAAACGTGTGTGCTTTATTTTTTTTTATTTTGTTTGTATGCTTTAAATAACCATATAATATTGTTTACAGTTGAATAGGAAATTACATTTCATACTGAATACCTCAAAAGTTAAGATGTTGGCAGATTCATCTTATAAATGGGTGACAGACCAAATACTGTTCTCCATTCAGTCACTTAAAAATAAAGACCTACATATTTCTAAAAAGAATGAATCTGCAACTCCAGATGGGAACATTGTGCAGTGTGAAATGGTTTTGTTTGCACAGTAGTTGCCAACGTAACAGTCCTTGTGAATGGAATGAGGATGATTTTACAGGTGGTGTTTGAACAAAAGAAGTCACAATGTGTAACAAAATCAATACCTACAATCTTTTTAAAAATTCGCCTGGGAAATCCAAAAACTAAAAGCTTTTGTTATGTAGAAGAAAGGACCTTAACCATTTTACTTTTAGGTGTCATTTGGTCAAAGTCAACGGCCTGTAGACCACCACCATCGTCTTTTACCATGGTTGCTTTCTTTGAATATTAAGGTTTTCCATTCCAAATGTAGTCAAAGTTTAACTTGTTGATGGTTTTTACTATTTTGTCAGAAAGAGAATCAGCTGAATAAATGCACCTTGAAGGACTTTCCATCTTACGCCACCAAAAAAAGAGAAAGATCTCTGTTATCTGTTTAACCTTGATTTGAATTCATCCATTTTTCATATTCAGTTGTAAACCACAGGCTTTGGAAAATAAATCTATAATGTGAATAGCCTTTGAAACCTGCTCAACAGAAACAACATTGGGTCATCTGCCAGGTGACTTCCGACTGTTTGTTTTTTAGGAACCTCAATTTCTATATATCTGAATTTTTTATTAGAACTGAGAGCTGAAAGTATCAAGAGTGAGCAAAAAGGTTAATTTACTTTGTTTAGCCAACTCTTTTTGTCCTGTCTTATTTACTTGACCCTGATTTTAGACCCATTATTGCTTGTTTTAAAAATCTGGTCTAAATGTTATTTCTTACTGGGTTTTGTTCTGAGTTTGTTCTTTCTTTTAATGTGAACCTCATGTGTTTTTGTATGAAAATATACCAGAATTATCTCAATTTGTCATCTTGCACAGCTTCCAGTGACCTCTGACTCCTGGGCCTGATGCCTGTAGAAACACACTGTCAGCAACACTGCAACATTTCAGCACCGCTCTTCCTGCTGTCATTATTCCCATGTATGGACACATAACGGAGTAGAAAATGAGTTTAATATCTGAGCGTTCTACAGTCTCATTATGATTCATGAAAGTCACATCTTCACAGTTGACCTGTTTGTTCTGTCTGCCGGATGGATGTTATTGTTTTTTTTTTTATTTAACCTTTATGGGACAGGAAAGTCCCATTATGACACAAGGGAGTCCTGTATAAACATATATTGTATTTGATGAAAGCAGCTGATCAGCCTTTGAAGGTTGCACTGTGCTGACAGCTGCTCTACTGACCCCACTTCCCCCGTCATTACTGTAGGCTCATACTCCCAATGCTGCTCTGAATTAAAGGCTTTGTAACCTTCATTTATCAAGCAAGACATTTTACTTTTTTTGTTGTTATTTTACCAGATGATAGAAAATTGTAGCGTCTGTATCATAAAGGTCTAGGGGTCAAGTGGTGACCCACAACATACAGAAAAATGATTACAACATGTTACAAATGACAGTTGGATCTACCAAGAACATTATTTACATATTTTGGCCAGAAGAACACCCAAACATTACACTCATAGGTGATAGCCAAACACCTCATTTCAGCAAGTAAAAAGTACATCAATGAGGTCCAAACCTGATGTTGGGCGATCAGGCCTACAGTCAGCGTTCCATCCCAAAAGGTGTTGGAGGGGGTCGAGGTCTGGGTTTTATGCAGGCCCAATTCTTCTACACCAAAACCATTTATCTGTGGACTTTATAAACTTTATTCATCAAGCAGGATATTTTTAATTGTTCTTGACAGCACATGGGGGGCCACCGGCATGTTGAAACAGAAAAGGGCCAAATGCAAACTGTTGACACACGTTTGAATCACAATATTATTGTAATTGTATGTTGTAGCATGAAGATCTCCCTTAAGTGGAACGAGGAGGACTGCACCAAACCAGGGAAAACAGCCTGAGACCAGAGCATTTAGACAGTGGTTTGGACATTCACTGTATGTATACTGTCTTAAATGCCAAAGTCACACATACAGACTTCTGTAATCTGAATATTAAAGAGGAATCAGTCAGAATTATCTATCACTGAGTTTCATGTCCTTTCATTGTGTTGCTTTTTATGTATTTGTTTAAAGGCCCATTTAGGAACAGGCACTGGAAGCTAGTTGATGAGCTAAGAGCCATAATGAAGCTTAATCAGCTTTCGGTTCCAAATCATATTTTCAGAATGAGGTTTTATTGATCTTGTGAGCTATGACAGTAACACTGTATCACAGCAGTTTATTGTAACCTGTGCATAACTCCTTTCTTCCACCGGAGGTTGCTGCAGACTGCAAGCTGCTACAAAGTACATGATTAAAAACTCAGTACACACCGATATTACTGTTATAAATAAGATCTTTTCAGCTGACTGTGATATTACTTGAATATGGAAAATCCATGTTCAGGATGCTGTTTTTGAATTAATCACTTGTCTGAATTTTATTCTCAGTGGAACGCTTTCATTTACACCCTTCAACATCTCGTTTACCCCAAAAACCAAACATTTAAAGTCATTTACTTTCTTGTATGATGTGAAATTTTAAACCTTTTAATACCATACAGTACAATTAGAAAAAACTGAAAACATTTCTATAACTTAGGCATGAACAAATGTTATTTTTCAACAATACATATTAAATGTACATATTTTACAAGATAATAATTCAAACTGCCAAATTCTGAAAAATTTATAAACAAATAAATATTTTTGTCAACAAAAAAAAAAACTCAAGGTCTTCCTCCAAAATGATACATTTACTAATTAATGACTAAATGACTAATTTAATTATTGCTCTATGAAATGTCTTTAGGCACTGAAAAGTCAATAAGTACGCTTTGAGATGAAAACTAAGGATAACATATATAACACTAGTTAAACGTGGGGTAACAGATTCCAATACATTTTTGTCAAATTCAGCAAATATCTCCTTTTTTCATGTAATCTGGGGTTTGTACACAGCCCTGGCTTTGTAAATCAGAAACAAAGTGGCTTGGACCGAGCTACACATAGATTAATTGCCCTATACCGCACCTTTAAAAGCAAAAACTTAGTGGTCTCCTCGTCCATCATGGACCTGTGCCGGTCCACCAGCTACTTAGAGGCCTTGGACTGGCTCAGACAATCCTGCTCAAATACATTAAAGAATTTTTTAAGGTCCTTTCTTGATCATCTTGATCTGGTCTCCAGTGAGCAGGGATACCATGACAAACACCATGAGCAAACAACGACACAGCAATTAATGTAACAGACTGTAAGGAGATATTTGTGGATTTAATTTTTTTGTGATTAACACTTTTTATTAAGGTTATTCTAACAACAGCTGGAAAAAACAACACAGATATTTATATAAATCAAGTAGCTTGTTGGCAAAAATCCAAACTAATCCTGTAATTTGGCAATTAATCTTCTCGTTTTTTTCTTATATCTGCTTCTTTAAGGCAATGAAACTTACTTTAAGTTGAAAAAGTGCATAACAAAAACAAAAACTCTACATCTTTAGGTTTACTCTTTCTCGTCCCTCCTGTCAGTTTCTGAACCTATAGGAGATCGGCAGCAGCTTGTGAGTCTTCTTCATGGTCTGGACCTTGGTGTGCGTCAGGTCGTCCATGGTCTTGTAGCACCGCCGGGCGTAATCCAAAAGCTTCTCCTTTGATGCCTCAAACTCCCCAACCTCTGCCACCTGCAGGACATCAGGTTGTTAATGCGGAAAATCAGCTAGCTATAATCCAGTGCTGGACAAAAGATAACCCTTTCAATTTTCTCATTCTTTGGTTGCACTAAAAGCTTTGTTGATATGACCACACAACAATACGGACAAATAATCACATTTTGATCATTTTGTCTAAATGACAACATGAAATAAACTGTAAACTGCAACACAGTTCACAGACACATTAGTTTCTTTAACTGAAATCTTCAGTTCAACAGAACTGAATCTACCTGAACTGAAAGGTTTTGAATTCATCATTACATTTATTAATTTCTTTAATCCAAATCCAATGTACAAATAAGGTACAATCCAAGCCACAGTTACAGGATGCAGGTGCATGGAGCAAGGCATGTAGTACATGTTGGTTACATGTGCAGCTGTGTGATAGGGAAGGGGTTTCTCTTTGAGTGTGTTGATGTTTGGGAGGATTTACTGCTCGTATTTAAGCCTATACTCTTTATATTTTGTCTTTCAATGTAAAGCACTTTGAGTTTACTTGTAATGAAGAGTGCTCTATAAATAAAATTAGCACAGGAAATGAGAAAGGTTTATAAATGCCAAAAGATGCAACCAGCAGACCATGTTTAGCATTTTGGTCAGTCACCAGAAACAAAATTACTTATTTGGAAACTGTTTGTATTTTTTATTTTTTTTTATATTTTATTTATTCTGTAGCACTGGATCTCACGCCTATCTATCTTGCCATCTGTTTCTCTGACAACATGCTAGTTCCAGATCAACTCCCAAACCAAAAAAATGAAAGTTTTCAATGCTTATGTACACATGTATCATTTATGTAATACATGTTTTGGGAATATAGGAATAGGATCAATAATTACAATTTCTTTTGCTGCCTATATGATGATAACCAATCTTAATCTTTAGTTGCATTCATTACTAGCAGTACAGTTCAGACCTTCTCTGGGGCCACCAGCAGCAGCTCGGCGATGGGGGAGGTGGAGGCCATGGTGTTTCGGTCGACTCCATGGATCTGGAAGGCCCGGGACATGCTCCTCACTCTCTGGTAGGTGGTCAGGATCTTCTTATAACGAATCAAAACTCCGTCTGGGTCTTTAACTGGAGAGGAGGGAAGAGAGTGGAGAAAATGAGGAGACTGAGGAACACAAAGAAATGTACCGTTTAGGATTGCTGCTGATAAATTTGATAATATTTTCTTCCACAGCATACGCCTTGTTTCCGGAGTCCAACCTAGACATGTGTTCAGACTGAACTCTTTGCCGCTGGAGAAATTCGTGCCATCTTGTGAAAATTTACTTCTGTTTATGTTTACTTGCATCTTTCCACTGACTTTGTAACTGTGCCATCTGGAAAATTCTCTGAACACACTTTAAGACTGATCCTTTAAAAACACAGCATTATCCTTTTGGAGCTTCTTTTCATTTTTGAATCTGGTTGGCTACAGAAGAACATATCACTTTGTGTTTTAAACAACACTGTATGACGTACACAGCTGAAGGGAGGTGTGGTTATGTTTTCTGTCACATGACCCTCACCTCTCTGTCGCTCCCTCCCATGGGTGATCCTGAAGATCCTCCTCATCTTCATCCTCGGCTCTCCGTTGGCTCGCCCTCTGCCCTTCTTCTTTGACCCCTTCTCCACCGACGAGTCCTCATCTTCCTCCTCCTCGTCCTCCTCGTCTTCCTCAACGTACTCCTCCTCGGTGTAGTACTTATCCTCTTCCAGATGAAACTCTTGCTTGACTGCAGCAGCGAAAAGTTGTGCAGAAACAACTGTATCATGTCTCAAGGCTCAAAAAGTTTCTAAATTTAAATAGTTAATAATTCTAACATAATTAAGTGCAGTAACGTATTGTTTAAGTTGTGTGTCAGCTATTTCCTCACCAGGGACAGCAGTGCTACGGCGGGCCCGAGGTCCTGGTCCCTGCAGGCGTTTCAGGGTCATTCCAGACCTGGTGGTCATGGGGGAGGGAGGAGAGGGAGAGCTGGCAGGCTGAACCTTCACACCTCGCTGGGAGTCTCCACACCACTCTGTATGCAGTTATAATTATACTGTTGTGAGGTCCAGGAAAACAAAATACCTCAAGAGGTAAATTACATCATCTCAGATAAAAAGAAAATAACAAACTAAATACTTTTGATTTTTGTGTATTAAAAATATCTGGTGGGCAAATGTTTGGCAGCCTTAACAGATATCATAAATTAATTCTTACATTGGTGTAATCCTCATACTTTCCACGCCTCCTGAAACACAGAAATTCTTCTTTTTTTCATGTTGTTTACTATCTATTTCACTTCTTTATTAGTTTTGATATGTTGTCTCTACTGCAATGGACTGGAAACCTGTCCAGGGTGTACCCCGCCTTTCGCCCGATGTCAGCTGGGATTGGCTCCAGCCTCCCGCGACCCTGTACGCAGGATAAGCGGTTGACGATGGATGAATGGATGTTGTCTCCATACTATTTTTAATGTGAATTGTATATTTCCCCACTAGATGAATTCAACTTGATCCTCACTCATGTATTATTGCTCTGTTGCTGATCTAGAATACTAGATTTAAATATTTTTATCATTCATTATGTTGCTTTGGAGAAATTCATTAAATCATTTTTATGTATTTCTCATGTGCACTTGATTGGATTTTTTTATTTCATCACAGGCACGAGACGCCTCACCCTCCGGGCCCCTCATGCTGACAATGAAGCGGTCCAGCTGACAGCGCAGGAAGTTGCGTTCCTCCTCCAGCTCCTCGATGCGCTTCTGCAGCCAGGCATTCTTCTCCAGAGCGACGTACAGGTGAGCTCGCAGGTTAGAGACCAGGATGAAAGGGCTGTACTGAGCGTGAGGAGGCTCCTGAACCACAGGCTCTGCATCAGGAGGGGAGAGGAGAAAACAGAAGAAAGGAGAGGAGAGAAGGAAACAGAGGAGATTAGAGCAGGAGATGAGAGGAGAGTGGGGAAGCAGAAGAGAGAAGGAAGAAACAGAGGAGAGGAGGGGAGGAAATAGAAAAGAGGAGAGGAGTAGAGGAGATCAGAGGAGACAAGGAAAACGAGGAGAGTTTTAACCTTCTGTAGCCTATTAAAACATGTCTACCATGAACTTGTTACAGCACTGCATGTCACATTAAAAAAAACTAACCACTCCATTTAAAGGCTCCACAAAAACCCATTTCATTAGCAAAACTCTTAACATAACCAGATAACCAGTTAAACTACAAACAGCCCTGTCTACACAACACATCCTCTGAGCCATTTCATGGTTCTTTACAAAAATATAGTTTTCATTCTCATCCCTGAGGTGCACGGAGACCTGCCCTTTAAACAATAACTCAGGGTCCATCAGCACTTCTGTCCTGTGTTTGCTCTGTTTACATAGAGGCAATACATAGAGCATCTCAGAAAACTCTTTTGTACAGCACCCGCCACCTAAAATCCTGAGGTAACACTGCCACTTATGCTCTCTGACTTCTTTCAGCACAGTTACGTTCTTAGCCATCACTACAGCTGCATGTAAAATCTTCTCCTTCACACCCAAACTTGGAAAGCGTGATCATAACAGCGGTGGTCATGTGTAGTAGATGTGGCGTACCGTCCATCATCTGCTGACCCTGGTTCAGGTGATATGCAGTTGGTCTCTCAATACCCTCCTCCAGGGGAAAAGAGACCTCATAGGCATCCAGATACAAACCTCCTCCTCCTCCTCCTCCTGATGATGATGATGATTGAGGCATGTAGTGCTCTGATCACACACACAAGACAACAGACAGACAATGAGGTGAAGGTTCTGCAAAGCAAGTTAAGATTATTTCCATTATCAATTCATGTGTTGTTTATTATTTTGAACTGATTTAAGTCTATTAAACAGTTTTTTATGGCATGAAAATAAAGATCGCCTCCTCAACCATCACGTAAATTAACAGAGGTGCTATTTCACACAATAAATTATGTGTATTTAATGGGTCTGTCCTTCATTTAGGGCTGCCATCTACTAATTAAATTGTTCACAACACAGGATGTGTTAAGATCAGTGCTGTGTACCACCTCTGTAAAACCTTCCCTGGTGAACACATGGTAGACCTACAGTAGGAACCCCTCACATTTGAGAAGCTGGAACCAAAGGATCCATCCATTTTAAACAATGAATAAATATCAAACGTGATATAGATTAATTACTGTTGACTCACAAATTATTTCAGATCCAGTAATAGCTAAGATTCAAGTTAATAAAAGTTATAACTTATAGGACTTTATAATAAATAGACAATAAAAAAACTAAATACATGGAAATGAACCAACATCAGTAAAACAGTCATAACAGAAAACAAGATGCACAGTTTATAAAACCAAGTTAGACATAAGTTCATAAAGCCTGAAATCGATTGGCTTATCAATATTAATGACTTTCAAATGCCATTTAAAAGCCCAAAGTGGTTTGGTGACCCCCAAACTTTTCATCTCTTTATGAACTTGTCAAAACAAACAAAAAAAACATTATTTCGTTCAGTCAAGGAACTCTTTAAAGACAGTAAAGGAGCAAACGCGGCATTGGCTAATTATTGCCTTGAACAGTTATTTAAACGCACTGAATCAGTTAGTACGTTTGTTGCACAAGGTGCATACGCCATTTAAATGTTGCTGTTACCTGGCGGGCTTGTTTCGTCTCTGCTGGTTGAAGGATTCATGACTGAAAACAGTTAATCGATACTGATGAATAATAACTCGGTTTTGTTATTATTAGTCTTCAGCGGTTCTGTGTGCAGTTATACTTCTGTAATACAGCCTGAAACGACTCACACTTGCTGCTCTACAGCCGAGTGACCACATTTTCAGCAGCAATTACCTCATTATAAGTCTCTTCAACAGGTGTACGCGCTCAGGTTTGGTTGGTTCGCACATGCGCACAACGAAGGTGTGCCTTCAAGATTTGAAAAAAAAAAAAAAAACACTGTTTATGTTTTGTTGCCTCAGCGCCTTAAACACTAGCTTCCTGCCTCCACAGACTCATAGGCTATCTGTTGAGTTGAGAAGGAAGTGTTTCCAGATGTCTTTCACGAGAAGGTTGGAGGAATCAAAGTATTGGAACGGGTCCAAGTCCGACCGGAAACGTCACCTGAGGGCGCGGCGCGCAGGTGGGTGGAGAACACCTATGAAGGTAAACGCGGAAGTAAAGGTAAATTCCACGGGAGAAACATCAAAAGAACAGTAGATCAGGATTTCATGCTGCTAGACGAACAACAATAACAAGTGAGTCAAATTAAAACTAAAATGTTTTGTTTCTTTTGATTACAGAATATGGATACGACGTGTTTTTGTCTAAAACAGGCTCACCTTTCCGGGTCTGGCGGGAGGTGACCGAGTTGTTTTCATGAAGCCAAATGAGAAATAGGTTTTAGATTCTGCGGTTATTGTTTGAAAATCTGCACAGTGAAGATTGCACTTGGTTGTTGTTAAACTTACCGGCATGATAAAGACAGAATACACCTGACAGAATATCTGAAAACCAGCTAAAACTGACAGAATCCCATCGGTGTAGCCTATAATAGCTGTGTTTGCCAGGAAAAGAGCCCCAGCACATAGAGCCCCTGAGAGGCCCCTCATCCCCACAGACAGCAGATGGGCCAGACAATAAAGATAAAACAATGACATTCAATAAATACAAGATGTGCAGACTCAGGCATGTACAGAACAGAACACAACCCGCCCAACATTAGGATCCTGAAGATCCCCTGACCTCTTGAGAAGAGGGATCTTGTACAGCACCCTTCACCTATAACCTGTCGTGGTTTCTTAATTAAACGTACTAATACCACACTAAAACACCCTCCAAGTAAAAGTCCTGCGTTGACAGTGTTTTTGTTTAGGCCTATAGCTATATAACTTTGTTTTAAAATGTGCTATATAAATAAAATATTACTTACTTACTGAAGTAAAAGTATGTAAGTATAATCAGGAAATATTACTTAAAATATTAAAAGTTAAAGTACTCAAATGCAGAAAAATGTCCTCAGTGCAAAGGTAGACTGAGGGGATCAAATATAGTCTAACCTCTCAACATCATGTTGACCACATTAAATTGGCATATTTTTATGTTTTGATGAGATAATATCGACCTAATACAGCAGCAGAAAGCTGCACTTCTTATGTATTTTGTGTTCAGATAACAACATCTTTTCTAACTGCAGTTTCATTATGGGCCTGTGTGACGGCCTCTCCCACTGTAAACTGGCTCTGGTTTTTGCTGTGTTGATGGATTTACTGGGAGGAGCCACTCTGCTGGTGGGAGTCTTCGTCCCCCTGGAGATCAAAGGACAGGACTACGGAGACTTACTGGTCTATTCTGGTATGAAATATGATTTTTAAAAATTTTATTTTACCTTTATTTTACCAGGAAATAAATCCATTGAGATGTTTAATCTCTTTTACAAGGATGTCCTGGTGTGTTTGTATGATCTGTTACACATACATACACTAGAAAAACGGAAGCAAATAAAAGTGTGATTATTTCAAGATAATACACTATGTGATTCATTATTAGTGGAAGGTAAAGAAAACATTTTTGCTTGTAGCTTTATTTATGTGGTTCAATTTAAAATCTCAAAAAGAAAAATGTGAAAAATTCAGAAACATTATGCAACTGTATCAATGCACTAAAACACGAACATATGTATATTTACTTTCTTTTCTGGGTTTCACACCCACTGATGATGACATTGAACAATGTCTTAAATGCAGGATGACGTAAACATGTGGAAACATGCAGAGTAAAATCAGTGAGGAGAGGAAATAGGATTAAAACATCTTTTTAACAGTTAGAGCTTTTTTGTATCATTAACTTTCCTGGTTTTAATGAAGCTGCATGATGACACAGTTACTAAGGAGTAGATTTTCACTTAATTTGCTCTTGCAGATGTCACATTAAGACTTCTGTGTGTCTTTTTTTTTTTTTAAAGTACTTGCCATGTTATCCAACTCTCTGTATACTAATTTGAAAACATCTGTGCAGGGGTTCTGTTTGTGCTGATGTCTCTGGCTGGATGGCTTCTGTGGTACAGCGGAAACATCGACGGCCTGACGTCCAAGAAGGAGCTGGGACACATGGACAGCGTCGTCGACCGGCTGGCTCGTAACCTCAGCCGCAAGATCCGCACGTACAGGGGTCAACACTGAGCCGCAAGGAGGACGTCAGAATTTCATTTCAAAAGTCTGCTTGTATTTATCAGTATTAGTATAACATACAGATGCTGAATGAAATTCTACTCTACCTGTATACCTGTACTACTGAAATACAATGTAAATGTTACAAGTATGTGAGAAACATTATAGATGTGCACCTGCTGTTCTGTCACAAAGTTGTGCTATTGATGTTTTAATATAATTAGTATTTTTATTTTATAAGTGTCCTTCAGTCGTTCAAGCAGTGGTCTCATGTTTCAATAAAAGCCTTTTTAGACATTATAAAACTGTTTGTTTTTATGAATTTAAACAATATACAAAAAATGTTCTGTAAACATACTGTATATAGAGATACAGCGCTGCATACGTCATTACACATGTTAAAACCACATTTGGGGAGCAAAACATAGTGTACATTGTGAATTCACTGTATATAGTAACTTATTTTGCATGTATATGTTGTAATTTTATCATAGTGTTTTTTTAAAGTAAATATTTCATAATTTTATATTTATTGCATGTCATATATGTATATATTTTATCTTTATCTAAAACATCTTTACATTTATGCATATTCTGTACTTCACTCAGGAGACTGTATTATAGCTTAAAATCAGTTTTTGCACATATGACAAGGTGAAAAAAATGCTATTTAAAACAATAATTGAAATCAATTAAGATAAGCTTGATAAGATTGAAATAGAGCCAAGATGTACTTATAGTGTGATTACAAGGCAGTAAGTTGCAACTGTTTTAATAAGGTAAATAAAAGTACGGTAGAAAATTAGATAATGCTATTATACTGCATATGTTTATGATTTCAAACTTATAATTTATAATTTCTACTTACAATTTCTGTATCTTTATCTGGGTGGTTTCTTCAATTAGTATACATGTATAACATGTACTGACCTCTGCTGGTGACCAGCAGGAATTACAACAACATCTGTGGCCTGTTCAAGATAGATTAGAGCAGATATTATATTTTTATTGTCAGGTGAAAAGGTAATATATTGTCTTGCTATATCTGTAGTCCATCCGAAGACAATAGAAAGTACTGTATGATAAAGCGGGAGGCTTAAACTGGATAACCTGTGGAGTGAAAAGTGACTTTTGGCAGGTGAAAAACTTTTTCCAGATGAACTTCACATGAACTCACGACATCCATAAAAAGAAAAGAATTTAAAGAGAGGAACTGGCCTCGCAGCAGATTTTCCCTCCACCGAGACGGAATTGTCCTTCTGACACGGCTCAGCTAATCTGATTCAGGTCTTACCTTGTTGCTGAAAACACAGTCCATGTATGGGGTTACACAGTAATAGATAACTCACTGTGGGATTATTACAGGTAACCTGTTGCTCCTCCCAGTTTACTTCTGTTTAGTAATCTCTAGCTCCTGCTGGGTTCACTAAGAGACGTCAAAGCTCTATCTGAAACTCAGTTTGACTTGTTTACCTGCTGACCTGCCTTGATCTTAGTTGCCCTGATATGCTAAATCCCCCACCAAATGGATTAAATTCTGGACTACAGTATTATTTGCCACAGATTTTATTTGACCCCTGGTTTGGTCTGAACTCAGGTCTGTCTTTCAGGTTATTTACAAGATGCTATCACAAAGACTCTGTGACCCTCAGTGTGTACACTGTGTGAGCAGGGTATTCCCCTGCAGAGAGTCTTTGTACAACTATTAATGGGATTATGAGGGCAGTGAGTATGTTTTCTCTGGCCTTGTTTTAAAATACCGTCTGGTCAAGTCAGGTTGTTGACCTCAGAGATGTGACGTGGTGGAATATAGCTAGCAGACTGACCTCATAAGACCTAAGACACAACAACAAATGTACTTTTTAAAGAAATTGCTGGCCTTTAATGTCCAAAACAAAATGCTCCAAGTGTTTTACTGTGCAAGTTTTTTACACCTTCTGCATGGTCTGCTGGTTAGTACCAATGGCCACCAAACTGCTAATTACAAGATTACATGATAGCTATCAATTTTCTCTTCTTTAAGAGTGGTGCCCGGAGGTGAATTTAACACAAATTTAACTTCTATTATTAATTATTAAAAAATAGTAGTAATAATTATTAGCATATTAATTAACATTTAATGTAACTATTGCTGTCATTTAAACCCTAATTCCCAACAAAAGTGTTGTATTTGTTTCATCCATTTACTCACAAATGGATATGTGTCTCCACAGGGCTATCGAGGGTATCCAGATGTAGAATAGGAGCCAGAGCCTTTAACCATCAGGCACCTCAGCTGTGGAATCAGACCCCTGTCTGGGTTCGGGAAGCAACCAACATTTCCATATTTCAGAGTAGGCTAAAAACTTTTCTTTTTAGTAAAGCTTTTAGCTAGGGATGTTTTTTCTGTATTTCGTGAGAAGGCTTATAGTTTGGGCTAGGGTATTTATGAATTTGTATACATTTTAATTGTCTATTTTATTTTATTGTATTTATTATTAGTTTTATAATTGTCTATTGTCTATAATGTGTGTTTTTTTTACGTGTTGTTAGCCTTTTTTCTGCAAATTCTATGTGTCTCTGTTTTCTGTAAAGTGTACTGGGACCACACAGCTAGTGATTTTACACTTTAATAAACTTTGACTTAACTTGACATTTTTGTTGGAACATGAAGGAATCCTACAGTTCCCTCTTTTTGTTAATTTTCTTCTAATAAATTCTTCTAATAATTATTATTATCAGGACAGCTACAAATACCTTGGGGTGCAGCAGGCTAACAGAATCCATGAGGAGGCAGCAAGGAAGTCCGCCACAGCCAAATACCTACAGAGAGTGAGACAGGTCCTGAAAAGCCAGCTGAATGGGAAAAACAAGATCCGAGCCATCAACACAGCCAGGTACCCCGCTGGTATAATAAACTGGCCAAAGGAGGAGATAGAGGCCACTGACATCAAGACGAGAAAGCTCCTCACAATGCATGGAGGGTTTCACCCCAAATCCAGCACCCTGAGACTGTACAAGCGTAGCGAGGTTGAGGATGACACATACCACCCCTCAATTTTTTATATATATACCTTAACCTTTTCTCTCTTTATTAACCTTTTCTTATTATTATACTCTATATTAGTCTGTTCACATATGTAGGGTTTTGGTTCAGAGCTGTGAGATTGTTTAGTGTTTTTTTCCCTCTCGTGCTGTCTTCTCCTCTCCTTGAACCTTCATTCAAGGCTGGGAGAGGATCTCTATTCCCCAAAACATCGAAACCTAGACTGTGGAAATGATTATGCATCCCTTTGCTCAGGGCCAGACGCCTGAAGCTGCCCTGGGCAGCAGGTCTCTGGACCAGCTGTGAATGTGTTGTAGTAATTCTCTGTTTATTCTCTGTTATTAATAAATTCTTCAAAGACAACGGTTTGTTGAAACTCAATTATTTTCTCAGTCCCTCACCAGCTGAATACAAATTTCCATGACAATTAGTATCCGCACGGAAGCCATGACGCCCATTAGGACGTCTAGATTAAACAGTCCTTTTCTGAGAATAGATTCCTCAATGTCGAGCCAAAGAGCTTTGATAATACTCATCAGCCCCGTTCTGGCAACCACAGATTTTCCATTCCCAGTATCGACTCTCTGTCTGCTTTACATCACTGCCAAATCCTCCTTATACTGCCTAACATTAACACCTTCACTGCTTCTCTCCTTTATCTCTTTCTGTTTGTCCATTTTAATCCCGCCCTCTCCTCTCAATCAAAGGATTCCCTTTCCTAGAACAGTTTAAACCAGGTTGAGGGTTAAAGGTGAGATGTCAAGAGGGAAAGGTTCATCCCAGGAGCCCAGCAGACGAAAACTGCTAATCCAATAAATCCGGACTCAGTATTTGTAACCTGAAGGGAAAATCCCTGTTCTAAAAGAAGAAAGACCTGCACAGAAAAAGAAGCGCTACGCTGAGAGGATCAACCTGGGTGCTTCCCTTCTTCTTTTTGTTTTTACACTACAGCTCAAAAATACTTCTCAAATTCAAAATGGTTAGTTTACCGTACATTTCAATGATCTAACTGGCAAATAAGAAACTCTGGTCAAACAATGTTAATGCTGTGTGGCAAAAGAAGTTTATGGTTTCAGGGGAATTCTTCAATTCAAATTGGTGGAAAAAAGTAAAAAATAAAAGGCAGACAGGATTAAGAACAACAACTCAGAACACAGATAATAATAATAGACTTTACCCAAATTATTTTTATATTTAAAGCCATACTATGATACTATACCATACTTTTACTAAACAGTGACCACTGTGGCCACAAGAGGCAATAACAGGATCATGGCTAACTGAACATGTAACTGAATTTCCCTTTTCTACTTCCTGGTATTCTCTTGATTCTCTCCGGGTGCTCCGGCTTCCTCCCACCCTCCAAAGACATGCAGGCTGGGTTAATTGCTGACCCTAAATTGTCCTTAGGTGTGAGTGTGAGCGTGAGTGAGTGGTTGTCTGTCTATGTCTGGCCCTGCGATGGACTGGCGACCTGTCCAGGGTGTACCCCGCCTTTCACCCGATGTCAGCTGGGATTGGCTCCAGCCCCCCGCGACCCTGTACGCAGGATAAGCGGTTGATGATGGATGGATGGATGGATGGTATTCTCTTGAGTCAGTTGCATTAAAGACATAAATGGGATTTTAAGATGTTGACCATGTTATCGCAGTGTACAGCTGGGAACCTCTGTTGCCAGAGTGGAATATTTTTTGCCCAATCGGGCTACTTTTTATGAAAAACTTTTATTTTTGTGATAAAAACTGTGAAATGTGTGTCAGCGACATATTAAAATGCAGCATAGTAAAGTATGCTAGTGTCTCGATAATGTCTGTTATTATATGCAATTGTACATTGAACTGGTTATGAATTGAACTTTTCATTTGTGTGTTTGTTTTCTTCATTTTAAAGCTACACTGTCCCGCTTTAAGAAGCTATACTACTTAAAAGGTTGCATTGGTTTTGCTTGTCCTCTGGCGGAGCTCCCCAAAGCCTCGGCAGCCAGATGGCAAAATCCAAATCACCTTTGGAGCTGTCTGATGGTGCCAAAGCAAAGGCAGGGTGCTGAAGTTAGGCCTCAGCACGTCAGCAGAGGAGTTAAGTTGTTTTATTTAATACAGAAGAGATCTCAGCAGTTTGCCAAGAGAGCTTATGTGCTGCTCCATACTTGTCCTGTGAACAATCAACCCAACAGTCTGCAGGTAGTTATGTCATCCTAATCAGGTTGAATGCACATAGAGTAGGCGTGCTCTGAGTCTGTTGTTGTCGTTAAGTTTCTGAGCTTATGCCTTGATCCATTACAGCCGTCCAGAGTTCATCTGTGACTTCGCTAAATGGCAGCTCATTGTAGGTAACTGAACGACGACAAACTCTGACAAAACATGCAAGTATATCAAACCGCTGATAAAAATTTTACAAAAAATAGATGTTTATAGTAATGTGTATGCTGTGAAACTAAAAGAGCAGGATTGCATAAAAGAAACATTCAGTCACATGCTAACACACATCACTCAACTAGCTATTTGGAAAGTAAATATGGTTATCAAAGAAACTTGAAATCTTATAATTGCCACAATGACAAAGCAAGATTATAAACGGGATGCAACCCACTTCTGTATATCATTTGTTTCATCGGTCAGTGCCATCATTTCTATATTTTGCATTTATTTATTTACTCTTCATTTATTAATAAGTAAATGGTAAACGGACTGTACTTTTATAGCGCCCTGTCTTCCGACCACATCTAGATTTGCTTTACACTGCATGCCACATTCACCCTATTCACACACTTTCATGCACTTCTTGCACAGACTTCAGTATCTTGACCAAGGACACTTGCAGGGGAAACTTTGGAATACATTTTTACACAAAATGAAGACTGTGGGTTTTGTCCCCCATCATTTCCAGTAATATCAGTTTAGGGAGAAACAATTACAAAGACCAAAAACTTTTGTTCAACTTCCTGTTCACATGCGATCAAGGTCACTCTAATCTGAGGTGAGCACAATTTTATTATTTATTTTTTGCTTCAAAAGTAAAACATTTGCACTTTACATTTGATGTAATCAAACCTTATTAGGTATGAATGTTCAAAATGATAACTTTGCACAAAGTAGAGGAGACAATAATGTGTCCTTTGATACTTCAGCTGAAGTGCTTTGTTAAGCTAACCTTGAGATTTAGCCAACATTAGCACACATGTCAGTTTGGGGCAAGTTGTCTCAATAACTTCGGGGCAATTCGTCACATGTGATTACTTGCCCCAGTACAAATAAACAAATAAAACATGCTCAAAAAACTATGTGAAATTGTGTAATTACCTCTGACACCAGTATTAAATGTTACTGTAAATAGAATATAATACACTGTACTTTACAGCAGCAGTCATGTGCCTGGACAAGACTGAATTCATGACACAGTATATACTGTCTTATACTGTAGGCATTTAGTGTGTTAGTAGATACAAACACAAACACTACATCATACAGTTATTAATTTAGTTATGCAACAAGGGTAGCAGACAAATACGCTTGTATTTATTTGTAATTGCAAGGAGGAATGTGTATTTTTAAGGAAGAAAGAAAATTATCAACAGAAGACAGAGAATGACAGCACACCACCTGACATAATGTTAAAGGCAGTCAGGCAGGTGAAGTTGAAGAACAAATCAATCAAAAGGACAGCTAAGGATTTTGACATAAGCTGCTGACTCTTTTGGTCTCATCTATGTGGAGCCATTTTCATACAGTATTCCAAAGAAGATGTGTTTAAGTGTGTGAAATGCAACAAATGGGCCTGCGATGTTTGCACCTCAGGCCAGGCAATTTATGTGTGCCAGAACTGTGACTCATATGTACATATGTACTTCGTACAAAAATGCACATTGTTGCATTAGTGTGTTTAAACACCACATCTGTGAAGTTATACATTTAAGCAAGTTATCTGCAGCATTACATTCAATTACCATAGATCTATTTGCACTCCAGAGAATGTTTGATTTTAAAGTTCAAAGAAAGAGGTTGTGCCACTTAATGTGTGCTCTGCCAACATTTTTGTTTTGAATTACATTATTTATTTTCCAAATGCTCTAGGCTTGATTGTTGATTCATTTCATTTTTATTTTGGGTTACAATTTGAAATTGAAATCAATTTTCACAATTAAGTGTTCTCACTGTTTGATAATCCAGTGTGACAACTTACCCAATGCAGTGTGACCTGCTGATGGGTCAAACTGTCACAAGTGCACACTCTCTATTCAACAGTCTACAACTCCATGATGAGATAAGATATGAAGATGTAATGATTACCAAACTTCTGCCCAAGTCTTCATTCTTTCATTTGGTATGACATTTGTACCATTGCGATGTACGGTGCTCGGGAAATATTAGACAGTGTGAAAAGTGTGACAACATACCCCACTCTCCCCTAGTTCTCCAAGATGTTTTGGCCAATTTACCTGCCGAGTTCCTTCAGAAACCATGTGCAAGTGGCAAAAAGTGGTCACAAAAAGTGGTCACACCAAATACTGATTTGATTTAGATTATTCTTCTGTTCACTAACGTTGCATTTTGTTAATTTATAAATATAATCTCTTGACATGTCTATTATTGAAAGCTTTCTGATCTTTAGCACAGTATTGTACACATGAGCAAGTGAGTTTAATTTGTTATCTCTGTGTAATGAATTTATCAGTAAACTCACCTTAAAGCCATAAAATGCATTAAAGTGAGCTGGTAGAGTGGTGAGGGAGGGGAAAGGGTCAAAGAGAGTAAATCCACTCTAACACCAAAGTCATGACCTCTGAGCCCTGAAAAAAAGTTTAATTCCTGCTGCTTTCCCACCGTGTTTCAGTCAGTTAGTAGTTTACACCTGTTGAGGGACCACATTTCCCTATAAAAGCAGGTAGTGGATGTTTTCTGTGTAGACTGGTTTCCAGCGGAGCAGATGGTGGATCAGCAGTCAACACTCAGTTAAGCGCATATAAAATCCCCTGCTGTAGGCTACACCGCAGAATAGTTGCCAGCACCCGCTGGATTTAAACTGTTAAGTCTTTGCCTGCGTGCATGACAGTCCAAGGTAGTTTTGGAAAAGACAATTTCCTACTGTGCCACTTCCATATGATATGGTTTATTTTTACAGTGGATAAACCAGCAGTGTACTCGTAACAAGGCAACCTTTCAGTGCCATGCAGGTTCAGTCAGCTGATCTGCTGCAGGTCGAGACAGGATCCAAGCTGCAAGGAAGTGTTTAGTCTGTCGAATGTCAAACCTCCTTCCCTGTCTCTCTCATTGTATCATATCTCACAGTAATGAGATCACATGCTCCGGGGACATCCACGCCCTACCACAAGGGGAAACAGCAGAGAGCCGTGCCAGGGAGCCCCCCGCAGCCACAGAGCGAGAACACAGTAAAACCAGGGCCGACAGCCCCCCAGCCCAACTCACCACCCAAGGGCAGGCAGATGATGTTTGACACCACAGCTGATAAATGGCATATCGGAAATTTTATTTTCCTTTCAGAATGTTTGTTCTATATCCACCCAGGGGTGGTGATAGAGCAGTGGATAAGACACAAGTTCAAATCCCCACTGTCACACATCCACCAATGTGTCCCTGAACAAGATACCTAACCCCTCGTTGCTCCATAATTAGCGATTGTAAGTCACTTTGGATAAAAGCATCAGCAAAATGAATAATTGTAATTGCATCCATGAGGGGTCCAGTGGGCTTTGATTGATCCATTATTATTATTATTTTTCTTTAATGCACATACAGAATGATTCATAATTGTGAGGTTGATTTTTATACATTTCTGGATGTTTTTTGATCTCCAAAGCCCTGCAAGCCTGTTTGTGAAAAACACCTTATTAATTAATAAGTATTGACCACTTGACAGAATGAAGAGAGAAAAAAGCTAGCTCAGTAAGCTGCTCAGTAAGCTCAGGGGCTCACATGGGTGCTGCTGTGGCTCCGCCTCAGGGGGATCCGATCTAATTGACTTATCTCAACAAGTGGAGGCTGATTTCCTCTCTTGATCACAGACAGAGCATCACTGTTTGCCCTGGACTCCTCAGCTGCTCACACAGGTAGGAAACAAACAGCTGCGCTTCATTAAACAACAAGAAATATTATAAACCTTGCTCAACACTATGAATGACCATTGGACCTTTAAACTTTCTTGGACTATTTGTATTGGTAGCATATGTCTGAACCTACGTTTAAGACAAATACTACTATATTCTCTCTAAAGAAAAACACATGGATATGAGGCATATAGAGTCAAAGGAAGAGAAGACTTTAATGGATGTACAGTAGCATTGTTTATTTATTGTTGGATGTGAGTAAACCATAACCTTTAATTACACTGGTTTGTTCCCCATCCACAGCAATGTACCATTTGGAACTTTTTATTACTTAGATGATAATATAATGCTAAAGAAAAGATTAGAATGCCTCAATAATCTTAAACACCTGCTGTTCACTTTACCCACAAATATATTAAATGTCTTTTATTGATGAATTGTATCAGTATTTATTTATGTAAAAATGCAATCATCATGGGTTGTTTTATGTAATGCAATGAAATACATGAGAAACAAAAGATGAGATAATTTATTTAGTTTTATCATAGTCAAAAGCATGAAACAATAATAACTATATTGAATTGTTATGGTAATTACGACGGCACTACCACTTACAAATTGGCATGCTACTTATTTTGAAATACCAAAGGGGTACAAAATTGAAACTGTCTGAAGCACAGAACAATTCCAATAAACAAGCTCTTCAGCCTTGATTTTCAATGACACCTCTTGCTGGTATTACTGATGGTTGATTGGCTTAATGAGCTTACCAAGTGGCTTTTGCTCTTTTCACAGCATATGCTTCTGCAGGATAAATTGTAGGCCAGGACCAGATCAAGAAGGATACTGCAGCTGTACCCCGAGAATAGTCTTAGTTTACTACTTTGACAGAGCAGAGGAGGCAACTCCTCAGGTTGAAGCTGTGTTGATTGACCTAGAAGGGCCACAAATTCACACGTTAATATAGCTCTATAACATCACCAACACCACCAACAATGGGTAACAGCAAGAGCGGCGCTGTGTCCAAGGAGATCCTGGAGGACTTGAAACTCAACACTAAGTTCACAGAGACAGAGATTGCCCAGTGGTATGAAAATTTCAAGAAGCAGTGTCCAACAGGACGCATCTCAAAAGAGGAGTTTCAGAGCATCTACTCCAAGTTCTTCCCAGAAAGCGATGCCCATACATATGCCCAGCACGTCTTCCGCTCCTTTGACACAAACGATGATGGCACACTGGACTTCAAGGAGTACATCATCGCTCTCCACATGACATCAACAGGGAAGACCACTAGGAAACTGGAATGGGCCTTCTCGCTGTTTGACGTGGACAAGAACGGATACATCACCAAGTCAGAGGTCACGGAAATCTGCACGGTGAGTTTTGGAGAAAGGGAAGTGATGCAGTAGCCTTGCAAACAACCATTCATGACGTTTTTTGTTGTAGTTTGCTAACTGTTTGGCCTTCAGATGATTGGGAAATAAATGTTTTTTTTTTATATTTAGGAACAGTTGAAAATTCTTGTTAAGAGACAGCATAGACAACAGTATCATCTGCATAGAAGTTGATATTTAACTGTCCTGTATTTGCTATATTATACTGTATTTGTTAGTGACTTCTAGGCAAAAGTTAGTATTGGGCTGGTTTTGCATGTATTTAAAAAATACAAAAAGGACATTTGCTGAGCAGAGAACAACACTGATAGATTATTTAAAAGGCACATGGAGATCATGGGAGCAGTGAGATGTGATATGGTCAGATGAGTCTTCCTTTATCATGTTCTCCACAAATGGGCTATTGTATGTGTGGCATACACCATGAGACCGGTACGGGCCTAAATATTTGACCCCTACAATGAGGGGATCTGGCAGCTCTGTTTGCTGTGGGGGCATATTGCTGGCATGGTCCACTTGTCCCCTTAGATTGGCCTGGGAACCAGACAAATCTGTAAGTTTAATTTAACTATGCACCATGACAAGTTTCACTGCTCTGATTGATTTTTGGTCTATCCAAATGTGTTAAGAGGCATTTTGGTCAACTCACATCGATTAACCCCTTGGAAATTAAAAATGTACTGAGAAGTTTCAGAATAAATCGCAATTGGCTGACCCTAGAGGGAAGGGTCATTGCCAGTAAACACAAAATTGCTTTAAGTGATCACCATTATCCTACGATGAAACATTTCTATGCTAATGGGAGTAGTCTCTTCCAGGGTGATAATAATAATAATAATAATAATAATAATCCTTATTTATAGAGCGCTTTTCAAAAACAAGTTACAAAGTGTAAAGAACAATACAAAAAAACAAGATAAGAGATCTAATGCAAGATTCTGTAACCAATTAAACCATTTTGTGTAAATTATGGCAACCACTTGTTTGCAAGAATGTGCATTAGCAGAAACCAAATGAAGTATAAACAACAGTATGATCTGCCTGCAGGATTATTTGGGACTGTCATGTACTGTATATTTTAGTCGCTAAAGGTCGACATTGGCAGTTTTGCAGACCTTAATAATACACTGAATTTTACAAATTATAACCTAAGACATAAATAAGTATTAAACACACACTTAAAACCTTTCAGTCATCAGATACCATGTAAGCAAACATTTCAATAAAAATAACCCAATATTAACACCAATATTTGCCAATATTTTGGCTACTTAAACAGAACTGACTTACATGTCCTCTGTTTTAGCTTTTGGAGAGGAAAGTGGTAGAAAATTTTATTATTTCTTAATATTTATTTCTTTATTGTGCACTACAAAGCTTGAAAGCTTGAAAAGACTGTGAGGTAAACAGCGTGACAGACACTGAAAAATAGGGTTTAAGAAAAAAGCCAAATCCTTCTTCTGTCTGACTGCAGTATGACAGTTTGTCACTGATTTGACAGCCTGGCTCTTTTTTTCAAGTAATCTTTTCTCTAAGCTTTGCAATTGCAGTGAAATGTGAGTTAGTAGTTTTAGTTTTCACAGCACTGCCAATCCCTAGTTTTTTTCCATACGTGATGAGATGATTAATTGTCTTAAATGTAAAATGCTTTAAATATGGATCCGATCTTTTGGTGGTCCGGAAAGTAATTTAGAAGTTACTGTTAAAAGAGAACGGTGTAACGATCATGGGTTTTAAAGGACACCCATTATGCTTTTCCATATTTTATGACTTATCTATTATAATGTTACAATGTTGTATGTTCATGTTAAACATGGCCAAGGCTTCAAATAATGAGGTTAAATTATTTAAAAGAAGTCAAAATCTCAGATTTCCTCCTGTTCTCAACACTCTGTTTTGAACAGCTTTTTCTACCAAGGGCTCTGTTTGACGACAACCCCTTCTCACTCCCTGACACGTCACATATGGACGCATGGTCAAGACCCATCGGCGTCAGTTTGTGACACACTGGGGATCGCTATAGCGTCATAGTTCAACTCTTTGTTGTTGCTAAGCATTGCTAACTTGAAGAGCATAACCATGGTTCTGCTCGAGGTTTCTGCCTCTTAAAAGGAAGTTTTTCCTTGCCTCTGTCGCCTAGTGCTTGCTCTTGGTGGGAACTGTTGGGCTTCTGTAAATAGCATCATAGAGTACGGTCTAGACCTGCTCTTTTATGAAAAGCGCTGTGAGATAACTGTTGTTGTGATTTGGCGCTATATAAATAAAATTGAATTGAATTGAATTGAAATTGAATTGAATAACATGAAGAGCCAGTATAAGATTATTATTATTATTTTTTTGAACTTTGAATCATGCAAAGCTAACATACAGGAGTCACAAAACAATATATATGACTGGAAATGCAGTATAATAGGTCTCCTTTAACTCCAGGATAGCACTCCATGACAATAAATTCTTAAAAATTCACTATTTTTTTGTGGATTCCACTGCAGGCCTATTCATTGCCACCATTGTAAAAGATTAGAGGTCATATGACACACAGACCAAAACCACAGAGCCGCTTGGTTAATCCGTAGCGGCTCGTGTTTTTGTCAATAGACACATGATCAGCTCATGAATGTTGAAATTAAAGACATTTATGTGGTATGGTTTCACTCCATTTGCAATCATGAAATTAGAATACAAAATAGATAGGATATATAGATTTTATAGTTGTTCTGGCTGTTATGATGTCTCTCTTGTTACATGGACAGGTAAAATATGAAATATAAATAAACATATATTCTGTTTTTGTTTTCCTACTAGGCGATCTTCAAGCTGATTCCTAAAGATGAACTGAGTAGTCTGCCTGAAGATGAAAACACAGCTGAAAAGAGGGCAGATAAACTCTGGAAATTCTTTGAAAAGAGCGATGAAGGTAAGATACAAAAGACTGCATGGAGAAATGAATAAAGAAATATGAGATTTGTAAGAACTTTGGTGCAATGTTAATACGTTAAAAGGCTTATCAAACACTGCACAACGATTTGTACTCTGGAAAGTTATGATGGTGGTAATTATTTGACTTTTGGTACTGAGGTAAACAGTAAAAAAAATTATTTCATTACAAAGTAATCTATCAGGAATTTGTGCTAGTATGTATTTGATCGGCCACCACAGCACCTTGCCTGATGGTGTTGTGTTGCATCTGGTTTTTACTTTTTTCCCCTGCCTGGTTGCCCAGAGTGGCTTTCATTTAAATGAACAAGACTGCTAGGTTTTTCACATAGGACTAAAGTCAGTCTAAATGTGGCCATTTGTTTTACCAGCACATACCGTTAAGTAGCATTATGATTTAGACCTCACTCAAAGAGTATCTTTAAGAAGTCTAGTAGTAAAAGGGTTCTCTGCACATCTTCAAGCAATTTGCAGCTGAATCAGTTGCTTCTCAACACAAGGACAGCAATCTTCTCTTGGAACCTTTCAGAAGTGTTTTTAATTTAATTTAATTTAAATAGCCTGACCTAAACCTCTTTTACTTTTCCTGTTCTTCCTCCAGAACGAGTGGCAGAAGGAGAGTTCGTCCAGGGAGTGTTGGACAATGATGAGGCCCTTCGTTTGATTCAGTATCAGCCTTTAAAGTAACTCTTCCACACATTCAGTGTATCTCTCTCCAGTCCTGTCTTTTCAATTTCACCCTTCTCTAATGCAATGCAATGACACCTGACAGCACCTTCACAAAATGTGAACAAAATGAAATAATAATTCGGAAGCTCTTCCAGGGTTTTATAACATTTGTTACCAATGTATGTGTGCTGTCTGAACAGTTTTCTTTATCATACATGAAATAAAATAAATGTTCAAAAATGGAAAGCAGGAGAGGTTGCCACCAGGTAACCTTTGATTGCAGTTACCATACCAACCAACCATATACAAATTTTAAATCTTTACAGGAACACTAATTGACTACTGTCTGCCTACCATGTAATTTCCCCCGTACACATCTGACCTGACACTTTCCAACAACTACTACAACTGCAAATGCTTGTTCTGCTAAGATTAGCCTCTTCATCGAAGTTGCAATAGACAAAGCACAGTATTTTTGAAATTGTCAGTAATTAGTAGACATTTCTTGAAAAAATCAAATTATAAAGGAGTGGTTTAGCAACTCAAGCATGCATTTTAATATGATAACATATGTGTTTTAGTTCAAGTCTCATTACCGTTAAATATGTTGTTTTTTTCTTTCCTGGGCAGTCAATGCTGGTCTATTGGTAATTTCTCATTTTACCCTAGCATCTTTTTTAAACACTGACCAACATGTAAGTGCAGTAAGGTGTAATTGTACTTGGGCCCTTGTACTGTCTATTGTTCTGTCTTTTACAGTGTTCATCCATGAGGCACAATGCTCAATGTTTGATGTTCTAGTTAAGTGGTACATATTGGAGAACTGGTGTTATCATGTTCAACAGTTTGTAAAACTAAGTGTTTCTACCAGATTTCCCTTTACGATAAATGCAATAAATCCAAACCATGAAATTTTAATAAACTTTAAGGTGTCAGAAGTCTTCTTTTTTCATTCTATTATGTTATTGTTAAAAAAAACAAACTGTGATTGTGTACATGGTGTGACTGTGAAGAGGACCAGGGAGTGATAAGACATCCACTACTTATGTAACCTAGGAACACGGGCTGTTCCAGGTGACGCTCATCAGCCACCTGCAGAGCAAACCAAGATACAGGTTATTACCAGATCACACCCCACGAGGACACGAGGGACTGTCTGAAGGATAATCCACACAGCTTGTGTCTGTAGATTATCCAAATTGAAGGCCCACCAGTGTGCTCCGAAACCCATATATCCACTGTCTTTTCGTTGTGTCGATCAAAGCACGTGTGCAGGGTATAGGTGTCGGGACGAATCTAACAGAAACGAGGCAGCTAACCAGACTCAGAAGGCAAAATGGAGGACAAACTAATAGCTGTTTCTTTGAATCTTGAATCTTGGATCTCTGCTCATGGGCCGCATTTTTCAAAAGGTGCATTTAAAGACCAAATGTGTCGCAGCTGGTTAACAAGGCTTTCCCATTTCAAAGGCTCTTTCAAATGCGGTTTTCTTTCCCCTATTTTGGAAGATCCAACAGCCGCACCGTTCATGGCACAACCAATCCTATGGTTCATTGCGATTCATTCACTGGATTTTTTCCGTCATCGAACAGTGGCTGAAGATTACGTCTCCATTTCCTCCAATAAGTGATAAAACAAACAAAGATTTATTTTTATTTCTGGCTCCATTTATATTAACTGTGTTATTTATTGTCAACTGTAGCAGGCAAGGTTGCCATATGAAAAGAAATGGCACTTCATGAGGGCGGTATAAGGGCGGGAACATCTGGTGACGCAAACAGGAAATCCTCCGTCTCATTTAACAATGCTCTGTTTGGCCTTCATAGACCACATCCTTTGAAGGATTGGTTCCTTGAATTGAGACACAGCTGTTGTGTGTATCTGAATTCCCTGAATTGTACAACACAAGTTTACTCTCTTATCGAAACCTCGGAAGGTAAGCCCTATCTTGAACGCTCTTTTAGGCAGTGATGTTGCTTCTTTGATTTTTAAATGTAATTTTTTTTTATGCTGTGAGCACCATGAAGGAAATCCCATTCATGACTTTCCTGGGGTAGATGGGAAAACAATGTTCTTTTTTGTGAGTTGGGTAGAATGAGTTGAACCAAAACACAATTTTGATTGATAAACCCAGAAGTAACCTTTGGGCTTCAAGTACCCCTGGTTTGGAATAACTGGTCTAGATGCTCAAATATCCTGCAATAAATGTGTTTTTTTAAATTTATTTTTTGTTCACTGAACAAAATTATAAACGCAACACTTTTGTTTTGCCCCCAAGATCTAAGACTTTTTCTGTGTATACTGGCTTATTTCTCTCAAATATTGTTCACAAATCTGTCAAAATCTCTGTTAGTGAGCACTTCTCCTTTGCTGAGATAATCCATCCACCTCACAGGTGTGGCATATCAAAATATCAAGATGCTGATCAGACAACATGGGTATTGCACAAGTGTGCCTTAGGCTGGCCACAATAAAAGGCCACACAAAAATGTGCAGTTCCATCACACAGCACAATGCCACAGATGTCGTAAGTTTTGAGGGTTTCAGAGAATTTGGCAGTACATCCAACCGGCCTCACAATTGCAGACCACATGCAACCACATCAGCCCAGGACCTCCATGTCCAGCATCTTCACTTATTTGGAGAGAGCAGCCAACCGGACAGATGCTGCAACAATCTGTTTGCATAACCAAAGAATTTCTGCAAAAAGTGTCAGGAACAGTCTCAGGGAAAATCATCTGCATGCTTGTTTTCATCGGTGTCTCGACTTGACTTTAACTTTGCATAGAAACACAAAACATTGAAACTGCACATTTTGAAGTGGCCTTTAATTGTGGCCAGCCGATGGCACGTGTGCAATACCCATGCTGTCTGATCAGCATCTTGATATGCCACACCTGTGGTGAATGAATTATCTCGGCAAAGGAAAAGTGCTCACTAACACAGATTTTGACAGATTTGTGAACAATATTTGAGAGAAATAGGCCTTTTGTGTACATAGAGAAAGTCTTTGATCTTTGAGTTCAGCTCATGATGAATGGGGGCAAAAACAAAAGTGTTGCGTTTACAATTTTGTTCAGTGTATTTAGCTCTTGCTAGAATATGTTGGTGTTGGGTGAGTTGTGGAGTTGTGGTTCCCCAACACTTTGTTCCTCCCAAAGTCTCCAGATGTTCACAGTTGGCCTGTTTTATGATGAATGTGTTCTTAAGTTACAAAAGACAAACACAGATCTCTAAATAAAAGATTAATATTGTTTTATAATGAAAAGACCTAGTTTACTTTACTGCTCCACTTTGCGGGAGACATCTGATATGTATCTTTTTACATGATGCTTATTTCATTATGAAGCCAAATTAATTTAAAAGCATCTTTTACTGCTTCACCAAAGGGGAAATCTATTTTGGAGGCTTCTTTCCAAAACAAAATAATCACCTCTGAAAAAAACACACTGGGAACCACTCATGGAACATCTCTAAAAGATAAGTATAAAGATTTCTTCACTGATTTGAACAAACAGATCTTCTATTCCATGTCCTGTACAATATTAAATTACTTTAAAGTATATAAATAAACTTAGATGACTTTGGGAACCAGACGTTAATTGTACGGCCAATGGAAGCTGCAACATAATACCGGACACACAACACAAAATAAATTGTGAAAAATTACATTTGTTAGCTATTATTATCATTTGTTTTGTTGTTGGTGGTAGATACACACAGGTCTCTTTACAGTGAATTACAAAATGAATCAACCCCTTCATGCCCTTTGTGTTGGGTAGTTTTTGAGGAATAACTAAACAGAGTGAACTAAATCATCTCAGTGACAAGTGGTGTGAGAAGCTCATCTTACATAAACTGTTGTTTAATTCAACCTCTTATTTTTAATTACTTTCCACATACTGCCCAGTGACCCGACAGCCCTGTTTATCTCTGCTTCACTGCCTATATTATGTCAATCTTTCTCTCTCTCAGTCGTATTCCCCTGACTGGAGAGATTATTGACATAATCTCCTGTCTAACATGTGAAAGCATCTGCCTTAATATCTAAACCTCTCTGCTGCTGAAATCTTTGATTCTCAGTTTTCTACTTTTCTATCTTTCGTAGATGAAAATTATCATAAGGAAACATAACAAACATAGGATATAACAGCTGGGTATGCTACACCACCAGATCCCATGCGAACTTGGCATTTAGGCTGCAGCAATAAAATAAAATAAAGTTTTACTTATTTATATTTGTCTTGGTTGTAGAGTCATGAAATGGATAGAAATAAGATAAATCTGTAATGCATACAGATATAAACGGATATAAAAGGTAATTTGTTACCACAATAGTTGTTCATAAACCTTTAAATGTTTTTATGAATTAACTTAATTATTATTGAAGCAATTTTTTATTGTTCATACTGATTATTTCAGAGAGTTTCATGGCCATCTGACTCTAAAAGTTCCAGTTTTTTTACATTGTCCATGAGGGAAATTAACAAAACTCTTTCTTATACTGGAACACGGGATTCCCAAAATAACCTAAGCCCCTTTTAACATAATGAAATGGCTAACATGTCTTAGGTAACTGTTTCACATGATGAACAGTGGTGTGTCTGTTGTCATAAAATCTCTTTGTGGTACATTAAAATAATCTTACCATCATTTATGTCACTAATGTTAAATTTGTATTCCACAGTTTGTGCTCATTCCATAGCAGAATAACTTTATGCTCAAAAGTGTATTAGGACAACCTACATACTTGTAAGTTATCTACCATTATCGAAAAAGTTTTAACAGAAATGAATACATGATTATAGGGAATCTGTGTATTGATAAGGCATCAACAGTTAATGTGTGTTTGTTTTTATTTATGACCTTACTTTAGGAGATTTTCATCCATTCATGCAAAGCAAACATAGAAATAAACCAAAATGTAGATAATATCATATGGCAAGGTCATCTATCATCTCACATTTTGAATACAATTTCACATCCTGTCATAAATTTCATAAGCCATAAAATTACATGCAGTCCCTGAAGAAGTCATTGTAAGGCTGGATTTACATGAGCAAAGCTAACTGAAGTTTGTACTTCTATTACTGTAATACTGATTTGATATAGTAAGACAATCCTGGAAAAAACAAAATATAATTTCCATTGCATAGTATCACAAAAACAATTTCTGTTGTTTTATTCCTTGATGTTCAAAACATCCATCCTGAAATAGCTGTTAGCAAATTTGTTATGAGACATATAGAACAGCCAGTCTTAGTCCTGATAAAATATTACCTCAAAATGTAGTGATACAAAGATTAACACGATTTCAACAGAATATAAAATTAGATTAGAGTTAACACAGTTCTATTAACATGTCCCACATTATTGTTTTCCGGTCCTTTCAACATATTAAAAAATATTTTACAATTAGTACTATAAAAAGAGGCAAGTTTTATTTGGCTAATAATTTATACTTTTCTTGCACATGTGGGGTTTGGTCTTCCTGTCTTTCGAATATCCTAAAAAAAATTGGTAATCGGGAAATGAGTTTCAAAACATGTCATGCAGCTGGGTAAAAACGGTGGGCTTTGAGCGTGCTATTTTAGCCTCTTTTAGCCAACTGTTTTGGTTCTGCTGAAAGACAAAGATTTTGCTGTTGATGGAGACCAAACCGGAGGTAAAAGATGAGTGAATGTTGTGCTTACATTCATTTAGTGCCCAGAAACACCACTGCAATGTGATGATAAGGTTGCTCTGTGTCTGCTGGATGTGTGAATGGGCACTTCTCTGCTAACTTATTGGACGTAACAAAGCAATAAACCAACAGTGCA